TGTTATGTGGCCACCTTGTTTCATGTGGGAGAGATGCCTTTCTACACGCCTCCCTTGTACACCGCTTCAACCTCCCACACAGCCAAAACTGCTGCTGTGTGAAATACCCACATCTGCCTGCCGCAGAGGCTGTTAATACCCAGTCAAATGTCCTCAGAAAGGACTGTGGAAAAGAAAATGTCCTGTCCTGGAAAGGAAAACCCTTTTCTAGCTTTAATATCCTTCTGCCCTGGCTCAACCTTTCCAGTTTCTGTAGTGTGGACACTTGCTCTGCTGTGTTCAGACTATTTTTTGGTGTGAAAACTAGTTATCCAGTGAGCCCAGGAAGGAATTACATTATCTGTAATGTGTGTCAGATGAGATGTCAGACTTTGGTTTACTGAGATTCAGTCCCTTCGTGTCCTCGCGTGGCCTCCATAGCCCCTGCACGCAGCGGATGTATACGTCAAGGAGAAAGGTCAGAGTGCTGAGATGTTATTTACATGGCAAAGCAACTGAGAAATGGCAAAAGAAGTCAGCTTCAGAGATGAAAGTGGAATACAGCCGGCAACTCGTTAGGAAAGTCAGTAAGGACAACCAGGCAGCCTGCAGAGAGAGGAGATGAAATGTGAGTTCAAACCAATCCGCTAGCAAATAGTAATCCTCTCATAAGCACAGATCTAAAATACAAATCCCAAATACAACTCCAAACCCGATCCGTGTAACAGCCCCATTTGTCACAGCAACGTGCAACAGCTGCCTCCTGTTATTGGAAAACCTACTTTGATATCAGACCATAATCAGAAAGATTTGCTTTTTCAGCTCAGCTTGGGTCATGCCACGGTACTCCTCCTCTGTGAAACTTACTTCATTTGAAGCACAGATGTTACAGACCCTCAGAAGTTTTTCTTTTTATATTGTTTTGAACAAGGAAAATAACTTTATTATTATTATTTTTTATAGGGTCTACATCAAAATAGTTGAATTGTCAAAGAATCCCGGTTTTCTGTAGGATGGTATTTCTACTTTTCTTCCAAGCTGTGTGTGCATCTCTGTCTTTCCTTAGCACATAAAGGGAAAGAAAAGGCTGTTTTCTGACAAATCTAGGCACAGGCGAGGGCAGGAGCTTATCTTGTGGATGACCTGTAGAGTGTGTTTAATAGGAGAAGGTGATAAAATATTTATTGAGACAGATGAAATAAATTTCCCTTGGATATCAATTATGTCAGACTGTCGGAAACACCGATGTTGCCTCAATTAGGAAATGAGTGAGATTTAATGTTTAATTATTAATATTTTATCATGGTGATTATAGTTATTTAGCATTTCTGCTTCAAGAAAGGCTATTTCCCAGTTGGGAAGCTCTCTGCAGGGCTCACGCCGAGTATCTCGTTATGCCCGAAGGCACCAGAAGGTGTCGGGGTGTGCACGCTCGCTTGCTGCTCGCATCTCTGCTCCCTCCCTGCACCCAGCTCAGCCTCTGAAGTGCTTGGCTTTTTTTTTGCTTTGGACAAAAAAAGAGATTGATTCAAGTGACTAAACAGCAGGGTCACTCCTTTAACGAAGGTATTTGGAGACTGGCTTTCTCCCTTTGGGGCCCTGGAAATCACCCGAGCAAGTACCACTGTAGGCAGAAGAGTTTCTGAATGACTTCGCTTTCAGCACTTGCCTTTGGCTCCAGGCCTTTATGAGCGCGCCTTTGGTGACCGTTTTGCATGGTTAAGTTTATCAGAGTGGAGAAACACGACACATCTCAATGCCCTGTTACATCTGCAAGCAGGCAGCAGGTCTGTAATGGTGTAAAGAATGGGATTAAACTCCACGTCTCCAGCGCTCAGCAGACGCTGCACCTCTTTCCCCTTTCTATAGCTCAGCCTCCAGATAAGCCTTTCTCTTCGTACCAGCTCCATCAGCAGCTTGGCTTTGGAACCCCATCTGCATTTATGTGTGACTCTATGATATAAAGCCACTTGTTAGCAGTGTCCCTGGCCTTTCATGGCCTGAGGCTGCCCAGCACTGAGCGAGGCACAACATCTATCACACAGGTGCCTGTACTGACTCAAACATTTCGACCATGGATGATGTCTTGCAGAGGCTCAAGGCAAAACCACATGGCAAGATACTGGGTTCCTTCTTACTTGCAAATGTTTCTAAGGTGGGAATGAACCTCAGAAAGCCCAGAGCATGCCCCATGTACCGCTCCTCTTCGAGCAGCCCGTACAGCTGCCCATCTGCACCGACACAGCTGGTGGCGTGGGTCCACCAACTGTGAAGCTCACCAAGTCTGGGCCAGGTCAGTCCACAGGGCCAAAGCAGAACAAGTCAGGAATAAAAAGCTGTGCCAAGAACCTGGCAGCATTAAATTTAACGCTTGTCAGAACCGGACTTTCTGGGTGATGATGCTGACAAAGTAAGGAATCCACCTGTGGCTGCGATTCAAGTTTGCATGTCCACAAATAACAAGACAAAAACTGAAATCCCTCTCTTCTGAAGGCTGAGATGAAACAGGGTGCTTGCCTCCTTGCTACACATGCATGAAAAAATATCAGTCTGGTTGGATAAAAACTGCTTTTCATCTATTTTCCACTTGCTTGGCTAACGGGGCCAGACAGCTGTGGGCTCAGGCTGGGAAACCTTTCTGGCGCAGCAAAACCCCAAGCCAGGAGATGCTCTGTGCCCTGTCTGTGACAGGCAGCCACCCGAGCCACGAGCAGGTGGGATACGAGAGGCAGAGGAGACGTGCAGATAGCTTCAGGGACGTCCTGGACCCAGCCCAAGGCCGTGCCCTGCCACAGCTGAGACTTTTCAGGCCATATCGGTTCTCAGGGTGTGTTTAGCACGCAACGGCTGAGATAAAAGCTGAGGAAAGATCAAAGCTGATTTCATGGTTTCATGGGCTCGTGCTTCTTGTTTTCACTTTCCAGTATCTCCCTCAGCCTTTCCTCTCTGTGTGAGAGCTGCCCTCTCACCCACCTCGGGAGGCACTGCTTGGGGCAGCCTGCACCCCACTGCCCTGAAGCAACGTTGGGTTATTTTAGCTGCGAGATGACCCTTTCGGTATCGTTTCTCTCCGCTGGGGAGGCTTTAAGTCCCTTGCAGAAGTTGGCCTCAGATTTCTCCTTCTCTGCTGAGAGCAGCTCGAGGTGGCCGTGTCGGCTCACGGGGCCTGAAGTGCTGATTCAGGGGCGCTGGGTCCAGCCAGAAAGTGTTGAGAAGGGGCTTTCCAGGGCCGGGGGGGTGCTTGTCCCCCCAAAAGACATTTGTATAGCAGCAGTGTGGTTCCTTCTCTGTGGAGACTTGGATTTCCCCTCCTTGCCATTTTTACTTTTACGGTCGCTCTCGCTGGCTAGGTTTTTTTAAAAGTACTTCAGTGGGGGTTTGCAGGTGAAAGGTGGGGAAAGATCTTCCTCTGGGGGAAGAGGTAGGGAGACACCTGGCAAAGAGAAGGTGAGGAAAGACCCTGAGACACTGAGTGGACCTCAGTGAAAACCAGCTGTGTGCTTTGTGAACTTTACGGGCAGGATGGGTAAATGCAGCGTGGCTTGGTGGCACTGGAAATGTCGAGCTGCTGCAAGCACCAGACGTGTAAACGCCGCTTTGAACAGGTGGAAAACAGGAGAAACAAATGTCATGTGTGCTGTGGCAGTCAGCCCCGGGTAGTCTGGAAAGAAACGGATGGCATCTGTAGGGAAATGAGTCACGGGTACAAACGTGAGGCAGAGATGTGCCACTAGATGCAGGGGGCAGGCCTTCTGTTGTGGCCGGAGAGGCTTTTATGGGGCTAGGAAGCAAGTGGTGCTCCTCTTCGTGCCAGGTGCCTCTCAGTGCTCCTCCGTACGTCTTCAGCTTTCCCTGAAACAGGACAAGCGAGCCACGTAACCCCTCTGCTTTGAGTTTCCAGCTGCTCCCCTGGCGCACCGTGCCAGCCTTGGGTGCTGGGGCACCTTCCTCCGTTCCAGGGACACCACCAGCTTGGTGCCACAAGCACCATGCCACCAGGCAAGCCTTGCTTATAACACCCGGGCCAGCACTCCATTGGTCCCTCCGTGTCACGCTCTGACTTCGTTTCAGCTCTCCATTGCCTTGCTGGGGTCGGGGTCAGCCCGGTGCCCCCGCACAGACCGCTAACGGGTGCGCCCTGCACCTGCGGCGTCTGCACCGCTTCCTCCGCGCCTGCCGCATGCAAATGTGCACTTTTGGGGGTGCTCAGCCCCTCGTCGGGGCTGTGGCCACCCAGGCTCGCTGGTAGAGCCCTCGGGGTCTGCTCCCACTTTGTGCAAGGCAGCCCGCTGTGCTTCCCAGGGTGTCTTTGAGGAATGGCACTTCTCCTCTGCTCGACCTTGGGTTAATTTCAGGTTAACTCGGGTGTAGGGCTTCTGGCGCTGAAGCGCGGGGGTGCTGGGTATTTCTCCTGCACCCTTTTCTGGCTACAAGTGCAAATTAGCAGGCAGCCTGGGGGTTTTCTGCTGCACTTGCCCGGTGCTATTTGCATCCCCGGGGTGGACGGACAGCCCCAGAGACTGCCCCTGCGCTCAGGCTGTGCCCTGGTGCGCTGCTGAATGCGTCCTGTGCTTTCCCTTTGGCAAAGTCCTCAAGCAGGCCAAATAGCGAAGCCCTACTTTGAAAGATACCTCTAATTTTAGGTAGGTTTTTCACCTGCTGGCAGGTGTGAGTGCACCTCTGGCTTTCAGGAGAACAGAGCAGAAAATGAGATCTTGTTCATTAGCACATCCACGCACCTTCGCCCTAGGACAGCAAGCGTCGGCTTGGTATGTGGTTGAATGACCTAGCTTTGGGCTGCTTTTGTTAGAATTTCTCCAATTCTGGTGCTCTCATGTTGAAATTTCATTTCTGTACCTGGAGTTTGCCTCGGTAAGCGCTGACCATTTTGCATCTGAGCATAAATAAAGCTGTGCCAGCCTTTGGGGGAGCTCAGTTGTTCCCTTCCCCTGGGCTGTGCCGTTGGGTCAGTGTTATTTGGGGGTAGATTCAAGCTCCTGATTTTTCTGCTTTACTCCCAGTTAGGGTGGAAATGCCTGCGAGTTCCCTAACCACGATAAATGGGAATTGAAACAGGTGCGTGTGCGACTCCCTCATGTTTCAGCTGAAGGTATCTCTGCATCTCCCTCTGAAGCAGGTGACGGACCGCAAACCGCAGCGGTGGCAATTCGCTGCCGTTGGGGTTTTCTTAGGGGTACTTTTTTTTCCTTCTTTGAAGCAGTTTTGGTGCTTCGCGCGAGGGGTGCTGGGATGGGAGGGCTGTGCTGGAAGCACACTTTCACTCCCCACGAGTGCAGCGGGTTTCAGTGCGGCCGAGAGGCTCCAGCACGGCTTCACTCACCACAGATGTTTTCAACACAGTCTCCTAGGGACCCTTACCTGCTCTCCGTGGGGCAGGATGCCTGGTGTCCCCACCTCATTTCCATCAGGGTTGGGCTTCTGTTGCACAAGGCGATTTTCTTTTATTTATTTTTTTCCTCCTGGTTTTCTTAGCTCAGGTCGCTTTCTGGCCATCTCCAAAGTTACCCCCTTACTGCAGACCAAATCCTTGCTCTGCCCCTGGCTCATGGTTGTGGAAGTGCTGTGACAGTTTCTTCTCCTTGCCATAAGCACCTCACCTGCTTCCCCTCTCATTTCACGCCCTCTATTTTTCAGTGCCTTCAAGGAAATCATTGACCTTGGAGAACCAGCCTGAGGCCTTCTCTGTCTCTGTCACCAACTTGTGTGTGTGAAGCTGTTTGGTGGCTGCAGAAGCACAGCAAAGCCACCGAGCAGAGCGCCGCTCTTCTGCCACACTCATGTCCTCAGGGAGGTGTCTGCATAGAGGTGCCATAGGAAGGATTTCGGGAGGATCCACTGGATTGAAAATAATAATAATAATAATAACAGAACCCATAAATGCAGGCAAGGCTTTGATTTGAATCAAAGGTGCAGCTGCTGCAGAAAATGCAGAAGCTGCTGGGATATTTCTGACAAGTTTCAGTTGGCGATGGCACGGACAAACGCACTGCTCGAGGTGCCAGGGCCGCGTTGCTGAATTACTGGCAGCCAGGATGTGGTTGGGTTAAGCACAGCCGTGGGCTAGATCCTCACCCTCCTCCTGCCTTTTCAGAATTACCGCTCAGCATGCACAGATCCTAGCGCTCAGCAGTGACTGCAAGCTTTTCTTCCACGATGTTTGTCAATGTATGTGTTAGTCATGCATGAAAACCACCACCACTACTACCAAGGCAGTTTAAGCACCCTGGGATTACAGTATCTCCCTCAAGTTCTCCTTTCTTGCCGCGTCAACGTCTATTTCACTTTTCCTACCCAAAGCAGAAACTTCCAGCAGCTCGGGGCCCGGCTGCTAGGCAAATGTGTGCGGGGATTCACCCAACTGCACGGCCCGACGGGGGAAACCCAGCGGCGACTGAGCAAGAGCTGGGCTTCACTGTGAAAATCCGCATCTGGGTATGAATCAAGAGGACGTGTCTGAGCAGGAGCTGCGGGCTCTGCTGGGTTTGTCTTCCCAGCCACACGGGCAGTGACTGCCACATGACTCCGGGGCCTGAAATCACCGTGGGGCTTGGTTTTGCTACTGAGCCATTCAGGACAGGTCGTGCCATGCAGGCTCGGGCTGTTTTTCTCCCCAAAGTACAGTTTCCAGGAGCAGGGCCAGGGATGCCCTTGGCCAAGGGACAGGGCAACAACTGTGGCTTCCCTGCAGCCTGGGGGTGAGCTCCTCGCTTTGTCCCAGCTCCTCGTTTTGCCCCCTCCTCTCTTCCGTGCTGCTGCAGGGAAAGTCATCTTCACTTCTCTCAGTTTCCCCCAGCGGCACCGTGTCAAAGTCATAAACTTCAGAAAGGTTTTGAAGCTCTGGGGTCTCTGTAGTACTTCATGTAGGTGGATGATTCTCTCCTGGCTAACTTGAAGCCATCTCCTTTTCCCCTGGCGTTGCAGCAGGGCGGTGTCATTCCCTCTGCAGGACTTTGTGAACAGATCCTGGAAATTGTCCCTGGGCTCTGAGTTCAACTCCCCGTTTTTGGCTTTGGTCTTTTGAACGAGATCTTTGCCAGATTTTCGCACCTGTCTCAGGGAAAATCAAGCCTCTGAGAGAGCGGAGAGTGGCTTATGCTCTAAGTAGAAGACTCATGTGGTTTGTGTTTTTTTAGTTTACTGTCATATTACTATATAAAACGCAGACGTGATTTGAAAGCTCCAAATTACAGCATTGCCACCCAACCACATCATCTTTCTGCTGCCCTCTTCCTTCCTCCTCACTTCCCTCTCGTGGCTGTGTCCCCTTCCCCTTTTCCTTCCCGCCTGGTGACTTTGCCCAGAGCGCAGCCCCCGTCCCCCCGCAGCCCCGTGGTGCCCCATGAAGATGGCTTTTGGGGCTAAAGGGGCTGAAAACAGGCCCTGCACGTCCCGTGTCAGTGCCAGCGATGCTGGCTTCGTGGGACCAGCCCCTGCACACCAACACGCGGTGCTTTGATCCTGGTTTCTCTTCTGCTGGTGCCGCTGTGCCAGTCATCTCTTGCATTTCCTGGGTGCTTTTGCTAGCACAGCGAAGGGCTGGGTGGAAACGAGCTGCCAAGTTCTTTGTTCTTTTTTCCACTGTACGGCGCTGAGCTTTTTTTTTTTGCTGATGTAAGAGAGCGCAAAAAATAGCGTGGGGGATTATAGCCCTCAGAAAGAAATATGTAAATATCTGGCCGCCTCAAAACAAAACAAAAAACCCTGCTTACACGGGGCCGGGGCTCTGGCTGTATTTTGGGCTCCTTTCGTGGTTGAGTAAATGCTGAAGGGAACGAATGCTGATGGCGTTTGTACAGCCCCAGCTAAGGAGAAAGGGTCGGGGGGCGGGAGGTGGAGATTACGTGGGGAAACCAAGCGGGCCTTCCACCCCCGAAGCCAGCCTTTTATCGATAACATTGCAAATTTGGCTCCTGGCCTGCCTGCGGTGAGCCTCCGAGAAATGATCTCACCTCTCCTTCACGCTCTGCCTGCCGCGTGTGACAGCCCTGGCCCCGGCCGCCGCGTATCGGAGCGTGCCCCCCGCCGATAAATAGAGGGGTTTGTGCCGCCGGCTCCTCACACTGCCACGATGCACTCATCAGCCCGGCGGGGAACCGGAGCCACCGTGCTCCTGGGGCTGCTGCTGCTGCTGCTGGTGATGGTGATGATGTCCCGCTCGGCCCATGCAGGTGAGCTTCTGGCGTCCTCGCAGAGATACCCGCGGCTGGGAGCGGTAGCCCGCCTCAGTCGCCAGTGCTTCAGCAGAGGAAGGTGCCAAATCCTCGTCCTGCACCACAGGAGACCCCAGGCTCTCCGGGAGCTGCAGAGATGCAGCCTCTTTCCGTAACGCGTTGTCTCTGTAAGCTGCTCCCTTCTCTCTTTCTCAGCCATCCTGGAAGTGAACGGGAACCTGAGCTGTAGGTGTGTAAAGACAACTTCAGACTACATCAGCCCAAAGAGATATGAAAGCATTGAAATAAGACCTGTGGGAAGCACCTGCAGGCGTACAGAGATCATGTAAGTGCTGCGAGCTGCTTGCCGTAGCCGTGGGGGCAGAAAGCTGCTTTCTCTTCTGCTCGCGCAGAGATGCAGGGCCAGCACTGAGCGTCATCTTCTGCAACCACTGTGCTTCTCAGCTTCCTTTCTGAAAGCTAAATCCTTCCAAAACTCCCAGCAGCACTCGTGCTTCAGGGCTGGAAAACTCTGGGTCACCTCTGGCGAAGGAAATGTATCAGAGGCAGTGTGCCAGAGGTCCCTGGGGCACGAGCAGCCGCAGGGAGCACTGCTCACCTTCCCACTGCTTCAGCTTCTGCAGAATTACCTCCCAGAAATGAGGTGCTGAAGCTTTAAACGAGCCTTTCCAAGCAGGGGAAAGTGTGATTACCTAGCACTGGTGCTGAGTGGCGAGCGTGCAGGTGGGGTGTGCTTGTGGGTTGTAGGATGAGCCACAGCCAGGCTTTTCCTCCGCTGACCTACACCACGTCCGAGAGCTGTGAATGGAACCTGCTTCTTGCAGATCAGCTCCGGCTGTTCAGATCCCTGCCTCTGGAGGGAGTATAACGCTCATAAACACTCCTTGTGTTTCAGCATTAAATTAAGAACCTCGTCAAAAGTGTGCGTGAACCCCGAGGCCCCTTGGGTAAAGAAACTACTGAAGCGCATTGCGAGCACGTAAGTTGCTTTGCTGAAGCCCCTTTGGCTCGTGCCTGCAGTCCTGGGAAGAGCTTAGAGGAACGAGGGCTCCCAGGGGGCTGCTGGGGCTCTCTGTGGAGCTGAGGGACCCCATCCCATGTGTTACCACCCCTAGGCTGTGCTCAGCGTGGTTTGTGTGCGGTGCTGCGCCTCCAAAAACATCTTGGGGGGGGGGGGGAGAGGGGGAAAGAATGTTTTTTGGGGAAGAAAATTGTGTCAGGAGCTGTCGTGAGAGTGCAATGGTGCTTCAGTGCTAGGCTGGGAAAATTTCCTCCTGCAGTGTGCCAGGTCCGAGGCAGAGCGGGGGGGGGTGGCTGTCCCTGCTGGGGACACCAGCCCTGGGGGAAACGGCGGTGACCTCCTCCAGCTCGGGCAGGAGCTTCCTCCCCTAGGACCCGTTTTCTTCTGCCTTCACACATTGCTCCTCCTTCTGCTTTCTGCAGGAAGAAAAAATAAGTTTCCTGCTGAGGAAGTTGATGCTCAGAGCCCCGAGGCAGCCTGCCAGATGATGCACAGGCGTGGAAACCTGGCGGCTCCTCGCTCTGCCCCTGCTTCCCCCTTTCCCGAAAGCCCGAGCCCCGTGTCCGGCCCTGTGGCAGCCGGGCTGCTCCCTGCGCGCACAGGTGGGCGAGTGCTGAGAGGGAACTCTTCCTTGGTTCCCCTGCCCGTGCTCTTTGAAGTCTGTGCTGTTCGGGGGCTGTTCCCACCTCTCTCGGAGCAACTTTGAGAGCACTCATCCACAGAGCGTGCGTCTTGTCTCTCGAGTCAAATAAAATCTGGGTTTTTCTTTTGTTGTATTTCCCCTGGGTCTTGCCTTGAGCCTAGTTTTGGAGATGCTCCGTGGGGCTTTGGTAAAAGCTGTTGGAGCTTAGACCCGAGCTTTCGTTCTGCACCCGGGGTGCTCTCTGACGGATCCGTGGCTGGCAGGCTGCAGGTGGAGCGCTTCCACTGCTGGTCAAGGGGTGAAAACCCCTCGGGCACCAGGACAGAGACACACAGAGGTTTGTGCAGGGCAGCAGCCTCAGCTGGGATGGGTGGTGGGGGGGAAGAGCCAAAGCCGCTGTCCCCAGAGCTCAGGCCAGGATGTGCCTGGTGGGGGGAAAATCAGCTTGTGGGGCACGGATCTCATGGCCCTGCTGCTGTTCCGAGGTGCTTCGTGAGCTCGCCTCCTGCTGATTCTGACTGTCCCGAAGTCAGTGGGGAATATTTTTTAAGTGCTACAGCTGGCACACCAATAGTGCCCGTGCAGAAGGTTAAAACACCCCAGGGAACTCCAGCTTTGCATGGCCGTGTGAACTAAGAACAAGCGAGGGGGAAAACGACGAACGTTTTTACCAGACCCAGCTTCTCAGGAAAGGGAAAACAGCGCTGGTTTCGGGAACCCCACACCCCCCTGCAGCGCTGCGACCTTGGCGAGCACCCTGAGCGGGGAAGGGCGGCGGGCGAAAAACCACCCGACCCCGGGGCCTCCCGCCTGCGCCGCCGCACTTCTCCTATTTTCCGGCTCAAATAGGGGGGTGCCGGCGGGGCCGGGGATGGGGCCGGCATGGCAGCGTGGGTGGCCTTGCTGCTGGGGGTGCTGCTGGCGACCCACCGCCCCGGGGGTGCAGGTGAGGCCAGGGGGCTCCCCGTGCCCCCCTTCCGTCTGCGGGGCTGCCGGCAGGTGGGGGAAGGTTTTTGGAGGGGCGTCGTGCTCTTTTTCCAGGGGCTGAAATGTTTCTGAGGCTTTTTGGCAAAGAGGTGCTGGCCCTGGGAGGGTTGGGGCGGGGGGAGACGCGTTTCCCGGAAAGGGTTTTGGAGAGGAATGGGATGGGAGAAGCAGCCGGGGGTGCGTTTTGGGGTGGTGTGCGAGCCCTGTGCCCCTCCAGCCCTCCTGGAAGCCAATGGCAACCTGAGCTGCCGCTGCGCCAAGACCACGGCTGCCTTCATCCACCCCTCCAAGTACGAGAGCGTTGAGGTCCGGCCGGTGGGGAGCAGCTGCCGGCGCCTGGAGGTGGTGTAAGTGGCTGCGGGGGGCGAGACGCTGCTCCCCTCCGGCAGCTCCTGCCCTCCCACCCCTCCCCTGGCCACGAGAAGCACTGGGAGGGGGGCTCAGTTCCCTGAGCCTCCCCCTGGGGGGCTGGAGGTGGTGGTGCCGAAACCCTGCATGTTTTCTAGGATTAAGCTAAAATCCCTCGAGAGGGTCTGCGTGGATCCCAACGCCCCCTGGGTGAAGAAACTCCTGCAGGACCTCCCGAAGCTGTAAGCAGCCCCGGCGGGGATGGGGGTCCCCAGGAGCTCTGGGAGCCCTCCCGGGGTGAGCTCTTCACACGTTTTCCTCTTCTGCTGTCGGCAGGAGGAAGAAAGCTGCTCCTCCCTGAGGAAGCTGCCGCCGCCGGGACACACAGATGGGTCCTGCCCAAATCTGGGCAGCCCCCAGCCTGGAGGTGCTGCCGTGTGATGCCCCGCGGCTGTTTTCCCCCGTTTCATACACCTAAACCCCTGCAAATGCCCACACGTGCTTCCCTTGCCCCCTCCCCACGGTGCCGTTCCCCGCCACCCCTCGGCACCAGCAAGAAGCGCGATGTCCCCTCCAGCACACGCATCCAATAAAGGTTGGATTTACCACCCCCGTTACCGTCCCTGGCGTCCCTGCAGCTTCGCTGGGTGTTTGTTGAGCCCGGCTGCGGGCCGTGGCCGTGCTGGGTTCTGCATTTCTCAGTGGCGCTGCGGGGCGGGGAGGTGCCTCGGGCCACGTGCCGAAGGGGGAAGCGACGGCGGGGAAGTCGACGCCGGGGGCGCGGGGCAGATCCTTTTCCCCCTGCGTTTCCCTACCCGCAAAATCCCCGCCGGGGCTGGCTATAAAGCGTCCTGCCCGCGGCTCGGGGCGGGCGGCGAGGATGCGGCTGCAGCCGGTGGCGCTGGCCCTGGCCCTGCTCCTGAGCAGCCTGGTGCCAGGGGGACGGTGAGTGATTGTGGGGCCCGGGCGGTGCTGTTGGATGCGTGGGGCTTCTCCGAGCTTTCGGATTCCTCCTTCTCCTTCTGGCAAGCGTTGAACTCAAAATTTCATCTTCTCGACCCGCCGGCTGAACCGAGGGCGTGCCCGGGGTGGGATTCGCATGGTGGGGTTAAGCTGCTCCTCTTCAAGGCACTGCAAGGCTGAGCGCTCGGCGGGTGGGCAGGGAGCAGGTTTAGTTCCGAAAACATCAGCTGAGTTGAAGCTAAACCCCGCTAAATGCGTGGAAAGAGAGATGGGAAGCTCTCTGGGGAGGGATGAGCCTTGCTTCAGCCTTGCGCCTTCCAACGCCGCCTGCTTTTGCCTTTCTCTGCTGTGAGCCCCGCTAAACAGCACCGCGGGGGGACGGGACGGGGACTGGGGACAGTGGGGGGGGGGATGTCCCCATTTGTCCCCCCCCAGCTGGGGACTGAGCCCGGGACATGGGCTGCTGTGGCTCAGGGCTGTCGCTGGAGAGCCTGCTGACCAACAAGAGGTGCAAGTGCATCAAATCGACCGCCCAGGTCATCAGCTTGGGGCTGATCCTCGCCATCGACGTTACGCCGCCGGGTATCCACTGCAGGAGGAAGGAGATCATGTAAGTGCCGAGCTCAGGGCCCGGGCGGTGCAAAAACCCCAAAGCTGCCCCTCTCGGTACCAGGGCTGTGCTCGGACAAACCCCGGTCCCAGCTGCCCTGCGACCCCGCCGGGGGGCTGGAGGGGTTTTCCCTGCAGGTGGCGGCTCGGTTGGGAAATCTTTAGGGGAAGAGGCTCCTGGCGGGGGGCTGAGCGGGTCCGGTCGCCTTGCAGCCTGTCCCTGACGAGGAGCAGGAAGGTGTGCGTGGCCCCCGAGGCGCCCTGGATCCAGCTGCTCATCCACAAGCTGACGCAGAGGAATGGCAGCAGGAAGGAGGCGGCGGCGCGGTCGCGGAGGGATGCGGAGAGGCGGCCGCTGGCCCCCTGACAGGGCCCGGACCCCCTCCCCAGCACCCCCCGCCTCTGCCCCTGCCCCGCTACGATGAGAAATAGATGAGCAATAACCAGCCGCGGTTATTTATCCGCCCCTGGGGACAGCAGTGGTGTCACCGCCCCGCGCCCCTGCTGCTTCCCACCGCTGCCCCTTGTTCCAGCGGCCCCGCTGCTCCCATGCATGCTGCCAGCCCGCCCCGGGTGCTGCTCAATAAAAGCATGAACGCGCTCTCCCTCCTTGTGGCAGCTCTGTCCGTGTGGATTTGCACGAAAATCACCAGGACATCACAAAAATTACCACCCCGGGGTGGTGGCCGAGGTGCAAAGTCCGCTGCCGGTCCCAATGGGCTCCCTCCCGCCCCGTGCCTCCCAGGAACCGCAGCAGGAGACCGGAGGGGTTGCAAAAGGGCCATTGATTGCCTACAGATGGAAGCAAAAGTGCACAGGTGCGAGGAAACAAGCAGATATTCAGCCCTATACATCGTGTGTGAGCGGTACCCGGTTTCCAATGGTACAAATAAAAAATAAAAAAGGAGGGGTGGAGAAAAAAAGGGACGGTCTGGGGCTTTGAGTCCCTTCTCCAGGCTGTTGTAAGGTTAAAGCAGGCAGGACTGCTTGGCTCGGGTGTCTCCTTCTCTCTGGCTGGTCCCCGCACAAGGATGGAAAACACAAATTACTGCGAGGGAGGGAGAGAGAGAGGGAGAGACCCTCTCCAGCGTGCTCCTGGTTTCAGGCTGGGCTGCTGTTTCCACAAAGCGCCCCGTGAAACCCCTTAAAACTTCAGCGCGCCCCGGAGTGGCACTGCCCCTTCCTGCTTCTCCATCTGCGGGCAGTCCCACGTGCAGGGGCAGAGGATGTTGTGTCGCAGACAAAAGGGGAAAAAAAATGAGAAAAAAGACAGGAGGCTGAGCAAAGGCACCCTCCCGAACCAAGAGCTGCAGGGGGGCAGCTCAGGCCCCGGAGGGTAGGGGCTGAGGGCAGAAGCAGCTCACGAGGTGCGCACAAAGGCTTTAACTGCTCAGGGGGAAAACACACGATGCGGTAATTAACAACTGGAAACAAAGCCGTGTAACGTCACTTGTAAAGACAGCCACCAGGATTTTTCTTTTTTTTTTAATTATTTTTGCTTTGGAACAAAGACATAATACAGACAAATGCAAACTTGGAAAAACGCCTCAATTTTAGGAACTGTTGAACAAAGAGGATGAGAGCACGGACCAGAATCACTCCGAACCTCGCCGCTAAAACGGGGAGAGCTCGTGCAGGCCAAATACACCGTGCTACTGCAGGGGAGGGCAGAAAGAAAGAGCCACATCACTTTGCGTGCATTGCCAGCAGTGCTGTGTTAAAAGCCCCGCACCGCCGTGCACGAGCATTTCGCCACCCTGCTGGTTACCTTCAGCTGCACTCCCAGGAGCTGCTCCTGGAGCCCCTCGTCCTCACACAGCCGAAGCAGCGAACTGCTGCCTCCAAACACCCACTTCCCTCCTGCCGAGAGCTCTTTGAAGCTGCTGGTTTTGTCCCTTTGCTACGTGTGCAGTACCTGTGCCTACCTCGTCAGCCCTGCGGTTTGAACGTCCCTGCGCTCATCTCCCAGGAGAAAAGCAAACCCAGCGCAGAGTGGTCACAGGAGAAGGTCCCGCGCCACTCACAGCTGTGTCTGCAGCTTTATCATCTCCTCTATACATTGTTTTCGAGCTTACTGAGCCTGCTAGGCTGTGTAGGGGATTGTCCCACTGCTCTTCCAACAGCCTGGCTTCAGTGCAGTGACCTCCTGCTGCTGGGCACGCCAGGGCATGGGCAGGCTCCGGGGTCTGCACAGCCTCAGGAACCCCTCAAATCCACTCACGGGCAACAACACCTGCTTCAGTGGCAGCAAGGAAAGGGATTCTTTAGTTATTAGGGGAAAAAAAAACAAAAACACACAGATCCATTGCAAAAGTGTAATAAACTCTGGTGTAAAGTGACAAGGGAGGGATGGCATTTCGCACCCTAACACCTTGGTATCATCTCAGGAGGCAGAGGGGAGTGCCAGATGGGGATGTGCTTGGTGGGCATTGCACTGTTGGGCTACTTCTAGTGCAGGCAAGTGATTTGGCTTGGATAGGATGAAAAAAAAAACTTTCCATCAACCCCACTATGCTGGGTTTCACGCCAAAGGAAGGTCTGGATGCTAGAAGCTTAAAACGCCTTGTGAAAAAATGAAAGCTGCTCCTGCCTTGCTGGGATTAAATCTCGTTTTCAGTGCTAAGGGCTCTCAGCTGCTGCTCACTACGAGGAACCCTCCAGCTGGGAACCTTGATGGTGTTTTCCCAGCCTGGCTGGCCTCCAAAAGCCAAGCTGATGCACCAGGGTCAGGGTTTGGGAGCTGTAGCTGCTCAGCACCTTTGTAAGCCTGGCCTCCAGTTCAAGCACGTAAGCATGGATTTGGGAGTCCCGGCAGCAAAGCTGGTAAGGTGGGAGACCTGTAGTAGGTGTTAAGAGCTTCTGAAAAGGCAAGGGTTCAAAGATTTTGGCTTTATAGACCATAAAACAGGATAGCAAGGAGCTGAGACTAACAAGAACTTTTCTGAAGGCTTCTGCAGACTAAACAGGAGTGGCTTCGAACACACAGAGACAGCTTGCTGACAAAATGACGTATTTTCTCAGTGAATGCCAGAAAATGACAGAAAAAAGCTTTTAACGAGGCAAATGGGAAGATAAAGCTGGTCTCAGAACCCATTGTGCCATACCTGACTTCAGCGAGTGGTACGCAAACGTTCGCACTCCTTACACCAAAATAAGGAAACAAAAATATTCAGGCTACATTGTACAAAATTCTCTTTTTATATATATATATGTACACACAAAACCCCATAGCTAACAGATTTACCATATTGAATTTTAAAAAGTTGCCTGTAGAACGGTGTTGGATTTTTTTTTCTCTGCTTGCTTTAGGCAGTGCTGTTGCTTAGAAGTTGACACCAGGCACAGTAGTTTTGAAACCAAACCAAGACAGCGAGGAGCAGTAAAAGGCTTTGAGCTTTTTTTTTTTCCAGGCTTTTGGTTGTGAGGGCAATGCAATCTGTTTGAGGATGAGAACCAAGGGGCAGAGATGAAGAAAAACTGTTTATAGTTGGGGATATTTGGGTTCGTGTATGACTTCCCTCCCTCCCCCTTAGAAAATACCCTGCAGGACGCTGTCAGCATCCTTCTGGGTCAAAAGAAAAGGAGCATCACCACGTGGAGGATGTGTTTCGGAACAGCTCACGGCCCTACAGGAGGCGTGCCGAGGGCTCTGCGTTCCCTCTTGTCTGGGAGCAGAAAATCTGCTCAGCTAGAGGAAAAAGCACGACCCCCTTACTGCTCCTTCTGCAGGGAAGGGGAAAATCCAGCAGGGGAACAGGGAGGGAGCCAGCCGTGTGAACGGCACGCAAGCATGCCCCCAGTTACGTGCATCAACTGAAACATGAACGGAGCTTTAAACAGATGGTTGTTTTTTTTAAACAGATTTTTTTTTTAAATCCAGAGGTTTTGTGCAACGTCTGGGAAAAGAACTTCTTAAAAATTGCACAGCGTAATGGGCTTTGCAAGGTGCATTTTTGAAGCAGAGAAAATCCAATTGAACACCTTCCTGCAACAGAACACTTCAGTCAGTTACAAACCCAAGGCAAGCAGACCCTGCGCAGCGTACAATGCTCACCGCTCCGTGGTGTCCTCATCCCCCCCCTCTCCCACCCTGATATTACAAAAGATTGTTGTTGGTTTTTGTTTTTATTAATAAACGGGCTCCTCTGCAGTTCATATACAATCATAGGTGAACTTTAAATTCCATTTTATACAAACATCTCAAAAATATTGGGAGTGAAGTATGGTAGGAAATATTGCTCACGTTGCTAGTTCACATGCGTGTACGAAAGGAGGAGAATGGGTTGTTAGTGCATACCTCCAGAGCAGAGAACCCCCCGTCCAAAAAAGATACAGTAGCTGATTACAGAAAGGTAATGTCCACAAAATTAAGTTTTTCATGCTATTCTACTTTCCAGTACTATACTCTCAGTCACGTTCTCAATTTATCTGCATGGCTAGGTGTCGAGCGCTGAGGTATATTAAAAAAGAGATACCTGCACCTAGAGGAAAATCCGTCTTTCAAAAGGGCTTTTTTTTTCGGTGCTGCACAAAGCAATTTATGTACATTAATTTCACCCAGCTATGATAGCTTCCAATTTATGTTAGGCAATAGATGACGCCTCCATTTTTAGGCACTTTTTTTTTTTTTTTTAAAGAGGGAGTTGTCATTTCGTTGAACTGATTTTTGCATTTGTCCCACACCATTCCCCCTCCCCGGCCCCCCAGCAAAAGTCAGGGAATATTTTCTACTCTAGGTCCAATTGTTTTTTTCTATTGATAATTTCCTATGTATAAAACGACAAAGGAAATGCATATTTAAAGAGTAGAGGAACAGCCTGACTTATCAGGTTTTTCAAGACAGAAGATGGCTCCTTACCATTTAAAACTGATTTAACAATTTAAATTTGACTTCTTTAAGTATACGAATGAGACATAAATATAGGCTATCAATCTGTTTAAAAATTTCATTCACGTAATGGAAAACTTTCATTTATTAAAAATATCACATTTTGAGACTAGAAACAGTAAAGTGCATGAAAAGTTTAAAATATAAGTTCAAGAAAATCTTATAGCAGCAAAAAAGCAGAATAAAGAAAAACTTAAAAACACAGACACAACCTTTTTCTATTACTGTGCCATTTTTTTTTTTTAACATTAAGCAGCCAACCAATTCTTGCAGAAAATTGCATTAGGTTTAATGCCTCTCGAGGCACAAGGTTTTGAACTGGCCACCTAGAGCATAAAAAAGGAAGAAAAAAAAAAAAAAAGGATTTCCAACACATCTAAAGAGCATTAACAGTTGGGAATGAACCAGCAGCTTTTGAATTCAACCCTGACCAACGAAAGAAAAGAAAGATTATTAAAAACATATGATGGCTATTTGGCAACTAGGGTCAGGAAAAATAATCCAAGGAATGATTGTGGCTACTGCTCTCTCCCCCAATGACAAAAGCGTCCCGATAGCTGCCTCACATGCGCTTCGGAGACAGAAGTAAGATCATTTCCAGTGGCTTTTTCCTGTACCCTAAGCTCAACCAGCTCATCCAAAGTTCCTCATCTTTGCAACTGAACTTCAGCAAAGGGAACCTAGAAGGGAATTGGAACTTCTTTGTTCTCAGCTGCTTGTAACTGCTTGCTTTAAGTGCAATTCCTTCCCACCCCCAAACCCTGCTCCCAAGCCATGCTGCTGAGCAGCAGGTCGTCCTGGCCTGCCGAAGCAGAGAGGCAGCTCTGTTTCACAGAGGCCATTTGGATTCCTGAATATCTTGCCCAGAAGGGACCAAGTTCGGAGCTCCAAAAAACAGAAGCTACCGTCATGTCTGCCAAGCAGGCGATCTACCATGGCATCAAATGCTCAAACTCAATCTTTGTGAGATGTATGCTCATCGGAATTTCTGTGGTAAGCGGACTTATGTCATGAAAATTTAGACCTCAAGTTTTATCACGGGTATTAAGCCATCTTTGGTTTTCTACTATTAGTTAAATAATGGGCAGGGCCACACTGCTAATAACTTAGAGTCGGGTACTAAGTGCTTTGCTAATGTGCAAATTTTATTTTGGATGCGGAGCTCAGTCTCCATTTTGGGTTCAAACAAACAGATTTTCTAATATTCTTCCTACAAACCAGTCACTTCTGTTTTTGTTTTTCTTTCTCCTAAAAGGTTGGAGCATTTTGCCCCGTTCTGGACAAAAAAAAAAAAAAGCTTTATGTTTAAATACGTTAATATGTAACTTTTTAATCTCATTTGTCCATTTATAAGTGCAGCTTCCTACTGAAAAGAAAAAGCTTGCCAGTTTAAAAAACAGAATTAAATTAAAAACCTGGAAAGGGAATAATACTTTGGTTCCAGCCCTAGTGCCAAATGATACCAATATGCACCAAAATGTGCAAAATCTCATATCAAACACATAAGGAAAGGAGCTTGAAGAAGCAGCTTAAGGTTGGCCATACTTCACTCCTATATACTTTGATTTACAACTGTACAGGTCCATAACAACAGGTCCTTGCCCTCAAAGGGGCAGGGCTCCACTACCTCCTGTTCGGCAAGTGCACACCGTTGACAAGAGGCAGGAGCGGAGGATGGAGTTCGAGTTGTGTTAACAGTGAGAAGTGGTCTGAAGGGATGTGAGGGTGTGGACACCCAGTGATGTTGTTCTCAACCAGCCACTGAGGGTCCAAAGGCCCCAGGACACCAAGCACGTTCATGTGAGTGTTGGAATAGAAAATGTAGTCAATCACACCCTAGGGAGAAAGAGAAACATGACAGTGAGAACAGGCCTCGGTTCTGGCAACCTCAACTCGACTGGCTGCTCGCTGCGAGTCACGGGAAGACGCACGGCCCTGGAATCAGGGAAATCAAAGCGCACGCCACTTCGCGCTCAAAGCACTGCATCCGTTTTCGTTAAGTCACTGGCCAGAGCCAGGGCAGAAGCTTAAGAACGCCAACAAATCAAGGACTTTTGTGTGGTAGGAAAGCGTCCAGCAAGTGTAGGAGCCAGTGAAGAAGCACTTACAGGAACAGAGAGAAACGGTCAGAAAGTTAAGACAGCATCCTGGGGAGACCAGGTCAATGCCTGCCATTTCAGAAAAATCGCTGCTTACTTTGAAATCAAAAGTGTAATTGGTGTAAGGCATCAAGTTGTTTTCATAGGCGCTCTTGAGTTGGAAGCCATGTGTAATTCTTCCTTCAGAAGCCCCGTTTTTCCCATTGCCGCTGAAGTTCATGAGACACTCGTTGTAACGCAACTCCTTGAAGTCCTTGTGGTTGTCAGCTACTATGCCATTGCTTAAGTATTCCACTACACCTGTTTGCAAAGGAAAGGGTTCAGGCAGTTGCTTTAAAATACAAAATCCAAGGAATTTTGTCCTCAGAGTTAAAAACCAGACCATTGATAAGAGACCTCACAGAATCAGGAAAAACGATTGATGCCCAATGCCTGATACGTTTACCCCTTTCTGAGAGGCAGACAAGGAAAAGGAGCTCTCCAGCAGTTCTGGCACAATTTCTTGAGGATGACAGTAAACCCACAGTGTGCGTACTGCTGTATGTATGTGACACAGGGTGCTAGAGAGGCAGCTTTTTTACATATGCCTGATAAAACGGTATCAAAAATCACAATTACTAAAGCAAGTGAATCTCCTTAGGAAGTTTTCCTGTTATGTCATGAAACTCCTGTCCAGGTATTTATTTAACCATTTATTTAAGATCTATTTGTGCTTGTCTATGTATCTTTTGAGGCATGATCAACTTTTCTACAGAGCACGACTGATCATAAAAAGCAATCTGCTCAGCTGGAGGACTTGCATTTTCTTCATTCAAATTTTGGAGGACCACTGCTTCTAAGAAAGCTTTCCAGAACAGCTACCCAGGGAAGTACGAGCTACTTAATCACCCACAGAGGAAAAAAGGACTCTAAAAAGGTACGTGAAAAATTAAGACACAATCAGTCTTACCTGAATCAGGCAATGAGTTAAGATCTGCACACAGCACCAGTGGGATAGAATTGGGATCTGCTGTTGGGCTACCAGGCCTGCTTGAGGCTTTCTCAAGGATATTTTTCAGTTCTGAGACAAACATCATAGTCTGAATGAGTTTCACATCCGAGTATTCAGGGTCCCAGTGCATGTGGGCATTGGCCACAATAAGCAGCTGTTTGTCCACATGAAGAGATTTTATACCTAGATAGATAAATACATTTTTTTTCAGTGAAAGGGCTGGTTGTGTGAGCACAGCAGATTTATCCCTCATTATGATCAGGGTCTAGCTACTAAGGACTTGAAGGGACACACACCAGAAAATGGATATACATGCACTGCTGAGAAAAAGGCACTACTTAACCTGTGTCTCCTTTCAAAATCAGAAGCTCATACGTGATACCACTTCACTAAATCTCACCGACATAAGAACAAAATAATCAGCATAAGCTGATACAATTGCAGTTGCATTCCTTCTCTACTGGTCAACTGCTTTTCTTAACATCTTCTGAATGCTCTCCCTTTCTCTTCCTTTCCACATCTCAAGGACAGATTTTCTCAAGAATCTTCTCCAATGCCCAGTCACTAAAGGACATAATGAACTCAAAGGTGAAGGTGGCCATCACTTGATGTATAAACTCTTATAAACTATGCACCACTCTTCAATGGTTAAGGCACAAGCGAATTTCCTGACTCTTAGTTGCCACAGCTAAGATTATTATCAATAGATTAGTTTAGCTTATTAATTACTCCCTTGGGAAAAAAAGGCATCTGCTTAAATAAATGTAGTACGAACCTAGCTGCTGCAAAACACTACAGCTGCTTTTACTATATATCTGAGAAGCAGTACTTGGTGGGGCATGAAGTTACACACAATTTCTCCCTGGCCTGCAATCCGGACACCCTGCGCCTTTGAAGAATACGCATTAGAAAGCAGTGATCAAAAATCCAGACACGCAGACAGAGCAGGGTGGCAATTTTAAGTATCTTGAAATTGTCTACTGCGTCTGATCAAACATAATGAAAGCGTGACAGTCAGTCAATCAAGTGGCATCAAAAGACACCTGATAATCTCATTCTTCCACATCAATACATCAGCACTGTCATGTAATCACTGGGGGAGGACAGAAGGATTCAATCAAGGGAAAAAAAAAGAGACTTGAAAATAGAAGTTGAATATTACCAACAGCTACTGGGAAGAGCATATGCATGCAGACACAGTGACCTTGGAAAAGCTTAATTCATCAAGTAAAATTTAGCAGTCTAACTAAACAAGGACAAAAGCCTCACAGGAGAAAGCTGAATGCTGGGCATCTGGATGAAAGTGCAGCTAGAACTGGAAATCACATCACCTGTGTCCTGCCTCAGCCACCGATGGGCTTCCATTCCTCAGTTTAGCAAAGTGAGCAGTGCTGGCTTATTTGCAAGTACTCAGTTACCACCGCCAATGGCAGTGGTATCACGTGGGGATGTGTTGCCAAAGGAATGTCGTGCCTTCAAGGGGAACTGAGCAGTCAGTCCATGAGATAGCCACGGTCATACTCACTTGCTCCAAATAATTCCTTGTGCACCTCTAACACCACAGCAACTCCGATGTTGTCCTTCGTCATCACTCTATTTAACATCGCTTCCGAACCTTCCGAGTTGGCCATCGCCACCTGGTTGAACTCCACGGTGTGCTTCTGCACCAGCGTAAACCTGGTGAAACAAGCAGGATCACACATGAGCACGTATGGCATCGAGCTGCATGAAAGGCATGGTTCCTGCCTGACTGCCAGTCTGCAACATCCAAGGACAGAGTCCGAAGGACAGGGTGAGGCACGTTTCTTTTGGCCTCTCACTTCATAAAGCAAAAACAGTTCTAGGAAGCAGTCTACCAGTCAGGGCAGAGCTCTCTGCCTAACAAGATACAGACTCTCCAGGAATAGATCTCTGGGGTTTAGGAAGTGTTTTATCTGCTTCAGCAGAGCACTCTGAGAGGACTACTCAGAGCAATGCTGAGAGGTTCCTGCACCTCCCCATGACTGTTCTAGGCAAAAAAATCAAGATGAGACGGTAACTGAAGGCTTCTCTTTTACTTTGGGCAAATGCATTATTAAAAACAGCTTCCTTCTAACCCCTAGCTACCACCATTAGTTTTGTGACTTTTTTTTTTCTTTCCTTTACAGCCATAGGATGCCCCAAAATGCCTTGCTTCAGTTTGTGCAGTTCACACAAATGAGAAGCGTGAATGCCAGCACTTCTCCTGCCTTCCCAATGGTTTGATGCTTTTAGTGTAGCAGATCTTTTTGGAAAAGATATTCAATAATACACCCACATTAAAGCCAAGAGTGTTCTGTTATCCTGTGGCAGCAGTACACCTTTTAATACCTGAAGATTAAGCCAGCACAGCTTTAAAGACTGAAGATCTTTAAGATTAATCTTAGAGAGCTGAAACTTGTCAAGCACGGCAAAGGTTTGTAAAGAAGGTGAGCTATTTATTAGATCAGCCAAAAAATGTACACATGAAGCATGTTTGTTTTTACTCATACTAGCCCTCCTTCAACTTTCATGTTTCTTACAAGATATCTTTGAGATATCTTCTTAAGAGATATCTTTAGTCTGAAGGAAAGGGAAAGACTCTGTTGCACATAATCAGGGCAGCAAGGGGAGGGAGGATCATTCCTTATAGTGAACTTTATTTTTTTGTGTTTTAGCACAATAATTTGGTTACTGTGCACCATGAGAGAGGGAGACTTTCAGACCAAAATCAAACTTTTTAAAATGTATGTAAGAAAAAGTGCTTCTGCTCCTTACTTCTCAGTTTTGAAGAATATTGCACAGCCATCCACATGCTTTTTCTCCTGCTCAGACATGATTTTGGCACGTGACTTTGGAGAAAAGAATCCGTCATATCCTCGTTCTTTCAATGCTGGCAGAAAAAGGGTGAAGTATTGCTCTGTTTCCACTTCCTGGAATTGAACACAAATACTTTAGGCTAACAAAGTCGAGTAAACTCTTCCTATGTGACAACTAGTGCTTGTCTTGGCTTGCAATCAGAAGCTCTTACCGAAGTCAAAAGCTTCTGTTTGCACAAATCATGTCACTTCCTAGATTAATGGCCTGATGGAAACAGATTTGCATTCCTGGATAACCTGGAATCCCCTCAAAAGGGAAAGTGATGGGTGGATTTTGAATGGCAAGAGATTACACCTGCTGCTTTTGACATATGAATGCAGATACTGTCCTAGGTTAAAACTTCTTAGAGGTCGATAGATATCCAGCAGCAGTTAATATTTAACCTTGAGAACTCTGACACAGAAGGGTCTCTCACGGCAGTCTAACAATCCATTTTCTTTGTAATAGCATTTGATCTCTGAGCGGATTCTCTTGAGGTTTCAGACCAAGATAGCTATTCTCTTCTTGTGTGGAATATTTACTTACCAGAGCTTGCTTAGAAAACAAAATACCAGTCTAAAGGCAGAAGTGCTCAGCTGTTCTAAACACTGGCGATAGATTTCTAATAGCATGACAGTATACGTGTACCAATGACAATCAATATTTAACTTTGACAGGCCAATGCCCTTGTTTTCCAATGAGATTATTTTTGAGACTTTAACTTCTTTACCACGCAGGAACAGTGGCATCTGGGGATATAATATTCTGCAGTCTTCCCTTGTAGGAAATCTCATACACCCAGAAGGAAAGTGCTGAGGACATGTAGCTGAGGGGGAAAACCCTGTATCTTGCAGTGCACATTACATACTAATTTTGCTAAGTTTAGCTCACTCACTTTATCATGTTTCAGAAACCACGAGACAATATGTGAACAAGGAGCTGTGCACACAGCTTGTATTGGTAGGCCCTGGAATTTGATAGTGAGCTGGAGAATTTGCTGTTTTTAAGGGAGCATTTCATTCTAACAATGGAAGTTAGTATTTTCAGCTTCTGATGAAAAATAATGTTCCAATTACCTGAAGACTAATGATGTCTGCATCACAGTTGACGATTTCTTCCATGATTCCCTTTTTTCTATACTCCCAGTTCAGCGCCCAAGACGGGCAGTAGCCATAGAGCTGCCGAGTGGCGTATTTATCACACAACACATTGTAGCACATAACTGTGAATGAAGCTAGAAGGAAACAAAGACAGGAAAATGTTACCAAGCTCTGAAGATAGCAAATGATGAAAGTGTTCAAGTCAAAATACTGGTTCTTGCATTTGCTGCCTCTTGCACTTCACCAAAATCAACAATAGAGGGCATTAAACTAACTTCAGTACCACTCAGTACCAAGGTGTTCTGCAGATAGGACTTCTCCAAGTCTCACTCACAATTTATGTATCGATAAGGAATTGTATGCAGTTATTTCAGTTCTTATTATTTCTCTGAAAAGACTTTAAAAAAGGAGCTCTTTTCCTTGGGCATCAGTGGCTGGAATGGTTATAAAAAAGTCTAACAGAGAGAAGAAATGACCAGCATTCCATCTGAGTTACAAAAATTTTATTTACGCCACAGCCATGTGCTAATTATTTAATACAAATCTATTTATTTATTTATTTTATTGATTAATATATTTATAAATAAATAAATAAACATTAAAATTAAAAAAAATATTTATTTATTTATTATTTAATACAAATTTAACACAAATTGCTGTTTTCAATCTGAGCCATGTAAACCAGAAGAATTCTCTGTAAATAAAGCCCAAGAACATCTTCAGCACATCACTGTTTGAATGCAGGGAAAAGAACCAGTTTTACCTGAGGGCAGAATTTGGTCTCGTTCTTTTAAAGTAATCCATGGCCTTGGAGGCAGCTGCTCTGGATGAACTAAAAAAGAAAGAAAAAAAAAACATAACAGTGATTAATTTGGGGTTTATCATTGTAAGTTACAATTTCTAAATCAAACTGATGACTGAACAATAATGTTTCATGCTGTATTTGCAACCCCAACTCCCCAAGCCTTTTTAAGCTCCACGGGAGGCAAGGATGCACAAAAAGTATTTAAATGCCAGAAACAGTTAATTACAGCTAAGAACAAGCCTGTCAGTTTTAAGATTCACTATTTTTGTCTCTTTCTTGCAAAGCTAGAACCACTGAAAGAGTCCTGCACCTTGAATAAATTGCTGAGGAAGAACGGATACATCTTGCAGTGGTTCAGACATCCTATCCTCACCCCACATCCGTCAGTCCTGCAACGCATGCTCTCCACTTACGCAGCTAGGGATTGCTACGAGGTGCCACAAGAGAAGGGCCGTGTCAAACCCTGGCCACTTTACAACACAGTCAAGTTAGCTGTGAGCTGACCCTGAGACCATCTGTGGAAATTTAGCGCGGAGGCGGAGGTTTGTTTTGTTTTACCACAGTTTCTATGGCAAAACGGAAAGCTCAGTTACAGAATCATGAGGCAGGTCCTTGATATTCTTAATCACAGTGGTATTTCTAGATCTAAATCTGACATCCTGCTTGCATTTGGATTATAATTTCTAGTGGAAAGTATCACAGTGGCTTTATCGAGGAAGGCTTTAGGCCTTGTTGGAAACTAAAGGGTTCTTTTGGGAATAACCGTCTGGGTAACATGGGCGAAGCTTGGATGAAATATGTGAACTTCCCTCCCTGCGTGCAAGTGTGTGCCTATGAGTGAACCACTTGGCAGAAACATAAAAGCAGTTAGAAAAATGTTCCCCCTCAGTGGTTCACTTTCTTGTTTTAGTGGCAAATACTGTCAGCCATGCTTGCTTTTAAACCTCTTCTGTCAATCAAGATTTGTAGGTCTGTCACCTGCTAGATTGTCAAGCATGTAGTTCAGTAGCTTTCGAGTTCCGTCTGGATCCTGGTAGAGGCTGAGAATATCTTGTGATAAAGGATTGCCTGCCAACAACAGAAAACAACCCGGTGATTAGCTGCCTGACTTTCTTGAGGCTTTCCAATAAAAGAAAATCTCCCATAATGAGAACAGACAAATTGACCCAGAAGGTATTTAGATTGCTTAACTCGTAACTCTAGAACACCACAGTAACAGATGCTTTAGGAACAGCTAGCACATGCAGACTTTCTTCCTTCAGCTCACCTCAATCAATAAATGGAGTAAATTACGGGGTTTATTTACCTATTTATAGATTTGAAATAGGTTCATAATGAAGCTTAATAGCATTAAAAATAAGCACTGTTTTCCAAACTAGCTAGTCATTGCTGCTCTAAGCTCAATATCTGGAACTGTAAGAAAACGTAGGGTAACACACAAAGCTTTTGAGCCCAACTTCCTCGTTAATCCCAGAGTACTCCACAGAATACTTAACCATAAAGAACTCACTCACCTTTCAAACCTAGGGTTTGTAGCTGGAAGAGCCGTCCAAGTTCATAAGGCAAAACCCGTAACAGATTGTTATTTAAAAGCAATTCCCTGCAGCAAATGCAAAAACACTTTTGATGAGTTATCACTTCAGAAGAAAGCTCTTAAAGCACTCTGTGCTGCTCATCTTCAAAGATGGCACTTTTCACGCTGAATTTTTTGTATTATGGAAAGATATGCCAATCTTCCCATTTCAAAGCACAACTGAAATATACTCATTAGGAAAAACCAAACCAAAACAAAACTAAAGCCAAAGCAACAACAACAAACCATCCAACAAAATCATATCAGGGAAATATAAACAGCAGGCAATCACAAAGTCTCAAAGTGAGAATGTTTTAAAGCAGAAGACTACACAGCTTATGGCCATGTATCTGTAGAGATTAGAAAAAAAAAGAAGAATATAACCAAAAGTAATTGCTAGAACTGAGCCTTTATATCAATCTTGAATTTTTCAGAATTATCTTAAATCTAAGAATGGTTTTAAGTCAAAGAAGAATGAATCAAAGTTAAAAACAAAACAAAACAAAAACAATTCCAATCCCAGAATATAGACTTTTCTTGAAAATGTACCCAGCGTACTTCCTCTCACCTGAGAGATACCATGTTTCCTAGTTCTGCTGGTAAACTTCTGAGTTTGTTGGATGACAGATCCAGGTAAACCAGATTATGAAGCTTGGCAATATCAGGTGGAATGCGAGTCAGATTGTTGTCATTGAGGTGTAGAGCAGTCAAGTGCGTCAGCGACCAAAGCGACGTACTTAAGCTCCGCACTCTACCTAAAAAAGAAAAGTGACAAACCACATCCTCAGGCAGCTTTACCCTCTCAAACCATTAGACACAAACCATGGGGAACGTCAGAATGCCCCCTGGGAGAGCTGGGTGGGGGTCCCAGGATGAAAACCCAGCATCAGTGAGGCCTGCAGAAGATAACTGTGTGTTATCTTTTTTTGTGTGTTATCTCTTGAACAGTTCCCTAACCTTCCTAGTTAAGAGGACAGAGACAGAGGTATGGTTCTAGGGAAGGAGAAGCACTATCCAACAACTCATGTCCGTTCTCAGTCGGTGTTTTACATCAACTGGGCTGCAAGTGAGTCAGCAAAGCTGGAAGGTGATCTGGTAAGTTAATTAATGCTCCCCCCACCACACAAAAACTGTTTTCACTGCAGGATCCCCTCCCTGAAAGCAGATGGTGCAATTCCATCCAAAAACTCTGCTGAACCAAAATTCGAAGGCAAATCGACTCACCCGAGATCTCTAATTCGGCCCAGTGAGACTTCTTCCCATTGGCTACCTCTTCTGCTGACATGATGGTGTAAATCCTGCGAGGATCGGGAGGATCATATTTTTCCTTTGGCATCCCTGTTAGTCTGAAAGAACATCACAGCCATTACCGTCTGCCACTTAACAACATTTCTTCATTTCCACCCCGCCGGGAGATCACATCCCCAGTGCCAGCCTGCAGAACCACACACCCTGGAGTTTATGGACAAGAAATATTACACTGACATCAGCCCGGCTGCTCACAGCCCGTGGAGCTAAGCAGGTGCTCAGACCTTTGCAGAAATACAGGCCTGCAACAGAAAAAGGCATTTTTCCCCCTAAAGTTTGGCTTTCTGCAGTCTTCTGCAATGTTCCCTTGTACTGTTCCAACACAAAATCTCTGGATTTCCTCATTGATAGCCCAGACCGAGGCGTAACCTCCATCACCATTAGGTTACTTGCTGTGCAAGTAGACAGGACAGCAGCATTTTACTCATTCACTGAGAAGAAGCTTACAGATTGCTCCCTCCTGTAGTTTTCAAAGGAAACAACTGAAGGGAAGAGTCTTCCCTTTTTTTTTTACAGCAATTATTTTCAACAGGCAAAGTCTGCCTTTTGCACTCCGCTTATACAAAACTGGAAATTGCAATTTAAAGGGGAATTGGCTCTTTTTTTTTTTTCCATTAGCAGTCTAGCTTCTGTGCTTTGTGGTTTTTCGAGCCCAGTATCAGCCGAGACGTATTGACTCCTAATGGTCGAGGAGCCACAAAGGAAGTCCAGGTAAAATTCACTTTTGCGGTTCTACCACATATGGGGCTTCACACAAATGCAAATGATCTCATCATTCTCCAGATTCTTGTCAGAAGAGAGCTCTGGCATCCCACCCAAAAACCATGCGCTTTGCAGCAGGCGACGCGGAGGGAGGTTTCCTTCCATTCCTCGCCAGGCCACTGGGCTAAGAAGCACTCAGGGGGAGAGGAGCTGTTTGATTTAAAAGCACGAGATCAGCTGAATTTTCTGGTCACTGGTCCTGTCAACCCTGCCCTGTTCTTCATCCCCAGACACACAAAACACACAGACCTTGATTCTACACAAATCCAAAGCAGCTGGTCTCCAGGATGCATTTTTTTTCCTCACACATATGTCTCTTTTCCAAGGGGCTCCAATAGCCGTGAAGCTCCTAAAATAACTAATTGGTGCCATTTGCTCAACTGACAAGACAGAAACCTATGAAGAATTTGAGGAAGCTCGTTCAGCTTTTTTCAGCCAGCCCAGCTGTGCAAAGCTCTTGCATCCCCATGGCACGGTGCAGCGAGACAAGGTACCAGGGCTGTGCTTTGTGATCGCTCTCGGTTACGGGTCTGCGTCTTCACCCCCCGACGAGCACACGAGGGAATCCCATTCATGCTGAATTATGACCGCTGGCTTCAAGCAGGGGGCAGAGGCAAGCTGTGGCACTAATTATAGCGCCCTGCTATTTGCAGGTGAAGTCATATGGCAAGGAAAGCTATGGCCTAAGAGGATTCTGCGCTCACGCTGCTCAGCCGCAGCGATCCAGTTCTGGGAGATGAATGAGACAGATTAGTTAAGGACATGGGATTAGACCCGAAAAGCTCAGGTCCCAACACCAGGTATGGTACTGCCCACCGCAGCCCCAGGTACGGGCTACGCTTCAGAGCTGCTAAGTTTCTGGTTCTGGTGTTTTGCTGCACTTATTCTCACTGTTAAATGTGTGCATGTGCAGGAGCAGCGAGCAGCAGCCCCTGGCCTCATGAGGAGACCCTCACGGCCCCTGCTGAGGGTCACAGTGGTCCCTATTTCATGGCTCCAGTCCCAACACCTGCGAGGACGCACATCTCACTGCCACCCTACCTCCTGTCCCAGCCTAACTGCCTGCGCGATCTCGGTGCTGCTCGGTACAGATCTGACAGGAGATGCCCCCAAATCATGTCCTAGTACTTGTCCATGCCAAAAAGCAGCAGCTGTGTAGCAAGTAGCTGTCGTGTCACCGTCACGTCACTGCCATGGGATTGCCTGCAGTGATCCCTTAATAGAAAATGACGTTTTATTACCTGGTAGTGTTTATTTCCTCCGTAAGGCACAGTGCAGATTATATGGGGGAAACTGAAAGGCTATGTGGTAAAAAACAAGCAGAATGCCCACAGAGGATTAAGGGCTTATGGTAGGAGAGAGCTTTTTGGATCTTTAAGTCGTAATCATCAAGCATTTTAACCGAACCAGGATGGGTCTTCATTTTGCTTTTTAATCTGCCCTATCTGAAACCAATCTGTGCTGCCACCACATCTGGGCCCAGGACAGCTGCAGCAGCACACACTTTGCTTCCCAAAAGCGCTCGGGTCAGTGCTGGGTGAGACGGGCTGTGCTCACACAGCTTTTCTCCTCGTTTTGTCAGCGTAACGTTACCGGCGTACCAGACCCAGACAGACAGAAATTTCAGTTTCTGCAGGCCGAGCACCACCCCCCCCCCCCCTCCTGCTGCGTACTGCCGGCGAAAGGCTTGGCCGCGGCCTCTTCCTACGGCTTCTCGGGGCACACTTCCAGTTAAAAAAGGCAAGTGGGAAACCATTTGTACTCCTGCTCGGTGTTTCATCGCGAGCCAGGCGCAGATGGCTCCCAGCTATGGCCTAGCCCAGCCCGGGGGCCGCGCTGCCACACGCACGGCGACTCCAGGCCTGCGAACGGCACGGGCCTGCCCCCGCTGCGAACCAGAGCGGGGCTCAGGCCGCCAGCTCCCCACAGCTCCTCTCCGCCCGGCAGAAGGCCGAAAAACATCGCAGGGCCCGCTGATGACGGCCTTCGTGCCGAGGTGGCTGCGGCCTGAGTCACCCCGCGCTCAGCCAGCCCTGCCCGCCGCCGTGTCACCCGCTGACAGGGTGACACCTTCGCCAAGCTTCAGGATGGCTGCTTCCTCCCTGGGAGGGAACCCAATTACGTTCTGGTGAAATATCGCCTCTTACGAGGAGGGCTCCGCCAATTTAAAGCAATTTGTGGCAATCAGGGGCCCTCCAGCGAGACGGCGAGTGGAACGGCACGCACATTTTTCAGATGTTAGTCACCGTAGGGTTATTTTGAAATAGTTGTGAGTCAAAGATCAATGTGATCTACAGAGTTACAGAAAAAGGGAAAACAAACCCAAATCACATATACTTGTTTCTTCGGCGTAACAGCGACGTTAAGCAAGACTCGAAAGCCACTGCGTGTATTTTTTTGAAGCAAACCCGAATTCTGCCCGAGTTCCCAGCTCCTACGGTTCCCTCTCCCCCTCCGCTTGTCCTGGCGCTAAGCCAATACCAAAAAATCCCAACCTATTTTTGCTCAGTCTTCAGGGAGCTACAGCAAGTCCCTCGAATCCATTAACCCCCGAATTTTTCAAGCAGTAGTGGCACCACAAGGAGCAAAGCAGCCAGGGGCACGGGGACTGAAGCAGCACAGGTTTGGGGCAGCTTCAGCTGTTCTTGCGAGTTTCGTGGGGCCTCTGCTAACGCTCAGCTAACGTGGTGTGAGATGAGCAAACGTGCGTGCTGCTTCTTTTCCTTTCAAGTGGGACAGAAAAGAAAATTCCCGGCATCTTTTCTTCCAAAGAGTTCCCTTGAGAAATTTATGAAGCTATTAAAACTCGCTCTCCGCTAAAAACCTAAATATGTAAACTTCAACAGTATGACCCTGATATTGTATAAAGCAAAGAAAATCTGGATCTGAGAACATGAGTGCATTACAAAGATGACATTTAAGCTCCAAACAAACTTTGAAATCTGCGGGTTCCTAACCATAGTTTCACGCTTATGTGCTAACTCTTCCCCCGAGGCCAGGAGCTGACTGGCAGAGCAATGTTACCCAGCTGAAACCAAGCATGGTCCCAGGTGAACCTAAGCAGCTCTAGCTCAAATGTATATAAAAGGGGTCAGAAGGAGGTTGCTTGATTTTGGAGTGTTATAAGCAGTAGGTCTGTGTCCCCTTTGGTGGGGGTGTTTTCTCATTTTTTTTTCTTTTTTCTTCTTACTTTTAAATGCTATTGTAGGATTTTTATTATTTCTTCTGTATAGGGCTTATTGACTATCACCTAGGACAAAAAAAGGCATAATGTAATAGTACTGAAGATGTGAAGAGTGTGGTCTGTTGAGGAGAGAAGTATCAAGCTATCAGGCTCTTACTCTGAAGAGATGTTTTGGGCAATGAACACCAGGAGCTTCTGCATGCTTGGAGTTTCAAGAAACCCAAACAGGTAACAACAGAAAAGAGCAATGCTCTTCTGTATCTAACTATCTGAGATCTTCTCAAGTTGTGTAGGTGTGGAGAGTATGAGATAAGCAGGATATAGTTAGCAGTGTGAATTATAAGCCATGACTCCTCTTAGTGAGAAGCTGAAGGCGGCCCTACAAATCACATCAACTCAAGAGGAGAAATGAGGACACTGTGCTAGGGACAAGAAATCTCCTAAACTACGCTGTGGGGGTGGTTTGTATGGGTAGGGGGAAACCAACAGCAGCTGGGGATACGGAAAATCTCTTCCATTATACAGCACATCCAGGCAAACCAAAGTAAGTACCTGGGGGTTGCTATGAGAGATGAGCAGCTCTACCACGTCTAATAAAGTTGGGTCTCTTACTCTGAAGGTAAATACACCATATATAGCCAAAGGATTAGTGTACACGTATGTTCCGTGGAAAGAGAAACACTGCTCAAAGCTGTCCTGGTTATTTGGCATCTATGTTGCAGCAGGACTTTGAAGCCAGATAGGTCAAAGTCCCTTAGAGCTATGTGCTGTTCCAAAATAATGACCAGTCCCTTCCCCAGGGAGCTTAAAAGATGCATTTCTTAAACAACAACTACTATAATGTTGTTCCCTGTAAGTTCTTTTAGAACTCAATGCGTAAATAAGTTGTCTATTTGTAACGAGGGCAGAAATTGAGAGGAAAAAAATAATGGAGAGAGAGCTACAGCTTCATCTCCTTTCTGCCCTATATTTCTGGATGTGTCGGTACAACTCAAAATCCTGGCCTCCAGCAGAGTGACATTCTTTGTGATTTTCAGCCTCTGTGTATACATGAGTCAAACTGCCAAAGCATCTTGAAAACTATCCAGCAGACAGCCCTGAATCATTCCTCCTTCCTCTGCGCAGTAACAGCTTACTGTCCATCCACTTCCACGCAGTAATGCCTCACCGGGGTTTAAAAACCTTGCCGGCTGACAAGGCCAGAGCACGTGTTTGTTTATATATGTATTATATGTGCATACATACACACAGAGGCATGTGTTATTTAACGTTGGAAAGTTGGACTCCAAGCTGGAAAACAGAACCATTTTTAATCTATGTATCTTTTAAACAAGGCTAAAGGGTTGCAAAGGGTGGAGAGGAAGGCTACTGCTCTGCAATACGCAGGCTCCATTTTCATATGAGTGTCAGACAAGTCTCATCTCAGGCTCCCCAAGGAGAAGAGAAAGTACAGCCAATGCCCACAAATACAAAAACTGGCTTTTGGAGTGCTTTGAGCTGAAGAGCAAAAAATAAAAATAAAAAAATACAGTGATTGTTCAATGGTACATCATGGGGGTTTAAAACATAACTGATAATGTATGTAGAGATGTATTAGCTTAGGGTATGTTAGTGTATATACAGTAGCTAGTGTATATACTAGCAAGACTGTATGTATGGAGAACTGTGATAGTCTTTGCTAGGATCTGATTTTTGTCCTCGTGCATTCCTGCAGGAACGTGTTCAACCACCTCTCTAGCCACTGCATCTACCAGGAGCCCAGTGAGCGCTGCCAACGAAGGTACTGTCTCTCTTCAATTTCTTATGCTGAGCAATGTGTTTGGAAATAGAGATTATCAGTTAAAAGAATGAAAATACCTCTTCATAGTGGTTTTTTTTTTTTTTTTTTTTAAATGAGTAAGAGAAAATAGGCTTTCTGTTATGGTCATTTCCCAAAACTGAGGTTTCAAACAATCTTTGGAAGTGCAGTTAAAATAAATAGAGGTTACTTGAGCACATGTAAATGTCCTACCGACAGGAGGATAGCTCAAAAAAACAGCAAAGTGGAAAATACCACAAGGCAGAAGACCAAATTTGAAGTTAACATTAAGTCTTAGAAATAACAGCTACAATTTCAAGCTTACTACCATGGAGCTAGCAACAAACTATGCAGTCCACAAATGCAACTGAAAAAAATCCTTTGTTTTATAAATCTATAAAAAGATGTATTTCTTTTCCTATCATCCATTCAAGAAGACTTTCTCTTGATGGCACACTGACTGCAATACAGAGGGTTTCTCTACATGAACTCCGTAGGACTGTTGTAGGATTGATCTCCACTCATTAGCAATCTTTTCTTTAGCAGAAAGAGCCCCAAACCACATAGCTAGGGGAATTTTGGAAATCTGCTCCATTTAGGATCATTTACTTCTATCTTTTTTTTGAGGCTGTAGCAACAAACTTTGCCTCTTCTATAACCTGTAGACAGAGCCTCAGCACTGTTTGCTTTTTTAAAACAAAAAATCTGTGCTCCAAGTGGAAAAGACAGGACCTTGCTTGGAGAATGCTGTTAGCAAATTACATCCACTTGTGTTCTTAACTCCTGATGTATTGAAAAATACAGCAAGGTAACATGGAGGTGGTTTTGAACCACATCAGTCATGCATCTGGAAACAAACTTACTTTACTGAGAGTAAAGATATCTTTGTTTGGTCTAGCTCCAGGATTTGAATTCCTTAACTTGAAGCTCTTGAATCTACACACATTGCAAGCTGAATGCTTTGTTATAACCCCGCTCTGCTCCATCATCAAGGTAAATATTAGATGTAGAAAATATTTCAACAAAAGCTTCTGAAGCAGCTTGCTTTGGCCTTACTTGCAAGTATCAAAACCACCCGTGGCAGAGCTCCTTCAAGGCCCAGTGTAGCTTTATATCATGATTGATGCAATCTCCTATCCACGTAATGGGGGGTGGGTCAGGGAAGTGAAATAAGTAGAAGACTAGGAAGACTTAAGTCATGGGATCTCTGTACTGATGCTGAGTGAATGAGAAGCTGTTATTCCCAGCTGTAATCAGGCAAGAGGCATCTCTCCCCTGAAAAGCAGAAGGGAGCAGATTCTTACTACAGTGTTGCCTGGCAGTGTCACCTCTTTGGGCATCAGTAGAGACTCAGACATCCGCCAGGCTTCAGAGAAGCTCACACAGACAGGAGGAGTCTTCGTGGAGCAACTGCTGCCTTGGGCTGACGATTCAGGGAGTGCTGCAGCCTTTATCAGTGGTGGCAACTCTGTAAGAAACTGACTGCAGGATTTTGGCCTTGCACCCACACGCTCCAGCTAGCGAGCCCAGCAGCGTGGTGACAAGTCCATGTCAACAACAAGCACGGCGACAATACATGGAACTTGTCCAAATTTTGCCCTAGTTTTTATTCCACATGGTACTTAGATTAGGCTCAGCAAGAGGAGGCTATTTAAGTTTCATATGCTCAGTTTAACAGGCAATCCCCTCTTTGTTCATCAGCGAGCTCCCCGTCATGCAGGAGGTGCAGCAGTTTGTACCAGTGTCTGGCAAATCCCCGTGAAGCGACTGTGCTCAGGGCTGAGGACACGTTCCCTGTCACCCTAACTTGCTTCGTTTTCAGTACAAAATTGCCTGTGCCTGGCACGCTGATTAGAGCACTGTCTCTGCTCACCCACGTGCTGTCAAGCCCCTGCAAGGCAAGCAAAACAAGATGTTCAGCTGGGTGCAGCGACGTTCAGCAACCACATCCTGCGAGGCTTCCCACCTCCTGCTCATCTCTGGCGTCGCTGCCTTGACACGGAGTGCGAGCCCGAGCACAGAGAAATTCATCTGCAGGGGGAATCATGCAATGCAACAGGTAGCCAGGATGCTGCAGCTGATAGCAACTTCAGTGGTGGGGGAGGGGTCCCAGAGGGCTTCACATTATCACTTCAGCGATGATCATAAAAGCCAAGAGAAGCACAGGAAAGTCACCAAAAAGAAAAAGGAGCAAAAGCCAAAGGGAGGAGTGGGAAGGGAGGGAACTAGCTGTATTCTGTTAATTTCAGAGCCAACTGGCACTTGACTGAAATGCTAATTGTCCTACTGACATACACCCACGAGTTATTTCCCCCTGTTCCCTCATCTCCTTTAAATGAAGTAGTGAGGCTTTCCTTAAATTGCAGGTAATGCAAGAAAATCCAGGCTGCCACCCTTCCTTTTCCTCTGTGTCACAGCCCCGTTTACAAGAACAGCTGAATCTTTTACTGTGTGGAAATACTACGCAGCATTAAGTAGTCACTTTAATTTCTGGATTGAGTTAATGTTTCAGTTTCTCTTAGGAAGAGTAGCTTCTGCTCTGTTCGAAATGGTCTGTTACCTCTCAGTGTGTGCATGACCTCTCCTGAACATCTGCATCCAGTCCCCGTAAGTAATGCCTGCCTTTGTGTGCAGGTGTTTTATAGCTGTCACCTTAAGGAGGGTTCTTAGGGACTAGTTTACATGCAAATATGCGGTAGGTACCTGCTCAAAAGCAAAGCTCCGTTTACCAGACGTGCATACCAGGCTCTTATGGGGCAAGGAGAGAAGACAGTTCCAACAGCCACCCTGCTAAATCTCACCAGGAGCCCCCAGAGGGATGGTTTAAGCAGCGTGTTTGTTTACACGAGTGTCCCACACCAGTTCAAAGAAATGACCCACTTGCAGCGCCTCCCCATCCCTGGAGAGCACAGGTCTGTTAATGAGATGGGGCAGCGTGGCTTAAAGGATTAAGAACTAAAGTCACTGGGGGTCTGGGGAAGGAAGCAGCCACTGCAGCTGCCTGATGCATGGCAAACATCGAGACAAAACGCTGTCCTGGGCTGTGAGCACAGAAGAAAAGCAGCGCTGCGTGGCTGCAGCTGAGAGCAGGAGCTTTTCGTGCTACCTGCTTGACATTGATAGGACCAAGGAGATGGAAAACTTCCAACGCTGAGCAGTGAGCAGGTTCAAAGCGTTGGAGCTTACTAGCATCGCTCCCAGCCTCTAGGGAAGGGACTGTTGTATTGACAAACCTAATCCTACACCTCACTTCATTCAGCCACTCGCTTGGAAACAAAGAGCCTGTTCAGGCTGTCCTGAGCCAACACCTTGGCTCATTCAGCTCCTTGGGATCAATAGCTGGAGAGAGGCCGGCGATCGATCCGTCTTTTGAGCAGAACCTCCCCAGAATTATTAATTCGTGCACTCTGCTGCAGCAGCTCTGAAGGGGCCTGCTCGATGAACGCTGCTTCCTTTCTTTAAAACACAATGCCAATCATCAATAACCTTTCATCCTTCAAAGAAAGTTTGTGCTGGGAGAAAAGAATGAATGCGATTACTTCCGTGGCTACAATGCTATCTGAACCTTTCCGCGCTAGGCTGCCAGCGCTCTAACAACACAAGCAGAGCCCAGCAGCACTTCAGCTACTCTCCCTGCCTGATAGGGAGATAACAGCCAGCTTATCTCTCGCAATCTGGTCCTTGCAGCAATAATTAACAACGTGGAAGTGTGCCACCACCAAACTTGCTTCGAACAGCTTTAAAGTTACAAAGCCTGCCCTGTTCAGATATGGGGAGATTTGGACTAGTCAAAATAAAGTCAAAGAATAATAGCACACCGATAGTGGAAAGTGTTTTGCAATCACTGGCACAAAAAAATAGCCCTTTCATATTAGAGTCCAGTTTAACCAGGCCATGGGATGCCACACTAGGCTTGCGTGCCTGAAAGTGGAGGAGAAATAAAAGGGATTATTTAAAAAATGAAGTACTTTCTAGGCATAAATCCCTTTCTTGGAAGGGCATATTTAAATGTACTTTACTTTTTTTTAGTCAAAGAAGTAAGAAAGCTTGCCTGATTGCCAGAAAAAAGCTGTTAGGTATCAAAAGTTAGTTCAGCTTCTCCAGTATTTGATAATCCAATTCCTCCTGTGTGCGCTTATACCAAACTTAAGCTCTAAATGCTTAAGGTTTAGTTTTAAAATCAATGTTAATGATTAACGTGTACTCCTAGCTGCCTTCCAGGATGATGGCAAGTGAGAAATGATGCCAATAACAGCCCAAGATGGTCTCTGTAGGGACCAAGGAATTCCCATCTAACAGAAGAACCAGCCCTGGACATCTGAAGGTTAACTGGCTCCAAGCACCCATAAAACCTGCCTGCAAAAACAAGGCACGCGAGCTGTGACCCCGGTAGGTGAAGGTATGCTTGTCTCTAAATATGAGTTAGTGTAAGGCTAATTCTGCTGCCCTGAATGAAGATTAATGCTCACTCTTACTCCATTAGAGTGAAACATGAGGGAAGCCTGCTGCGTATGCTGGCTAGCAAGCGGCACGGCCAGGAGCTGCCCAGCTCGGCCCGTTCCTCTGCCAAAAGGTAAGTTAGGCTTGGGTGGTTCCCCCGCTCGCCGCTGGAAGGGATTGCATCTAAGGCGTGCTCACCGCCTCACCAGGGAATACCCTTGGCAATTTTTTATGACATTCCACAAACAGATCAGTTTTCGGTTCTCCGTGAGCACGCAGGATGATTCAAGAGTTCCCTGACATTTGTTTTCGGAACGGCCTCCATGCATCCCCTTTCCCTCCCCACCACACCGAGTTTTGGTTGCAGTCCTTCGCAGCGGATCTGGAGTTACACGAGCCATCGGCTGCTGCTGGAAGAGCTGCAGCACGCGCTGCCTTTCAAGGGGGGCAGTGCCCTGAGACGTGGGGGCATCCGAGTGCTACATGAGCCTGTGAAGAAGAAGATGGTCTCTGAAAGGAGCGACAGAAGAGCCCGAGCTCAGACAGCGGTCCTACCAAGCGGCACTCACCTCCGGGCTGCACACACGCCACTGCTTCGCAGAGACAGCATCTAAGGCAAGAGCACAGACACAGTGGGTACACAGAGGAGACAGGTACGGGTTTAGGAATACTGTCTAGGTTTTAAAACACGTAATTTTGTAAGTAGAAAACACTGTAAAGTTGTACTCATCTCCCTGTGTACACATCCAGGGCTACTTTGGCTGTACCTGCACCTACCACGAGAGGAATGGCATCAATGTAAACCTGAGCTGCAGCACCCCCAAATGCAAGGGGAGCTCAGTTCCGCAGCAGTTAGGGGTTACTGCAACAGGCAGAAAAACACCTCGCAGGCATTACAGGACTGTTTACTGTCTTCAAGTCAAACTGTACACCAAAAAATGCATCAAAGAATTAAATGGATGTCCTAAGGCCCGTATAATGTTAGCAGGTCTCAAATACTTGACGCGTGTGCTTCTCTCATCCACTCAAAATATTCCTCATTTGTCTGACAAGCTTCCCTCCTTCCCAGTCTTTCCCTCCAGACTAAGATGGAGAAGGATGAGGGTTATTGCACAGGCAAAAACAAATGAAAAGCCTAAAGATTTAACTGCTCCCAATGGTAAGACCTAATTTGTCTGGAGGAAAAAATGCAAGCCAAGGGCAACCTGATGGTCTGAACCCAGCTCCTCCTGGCACTTCTGGCTATGCTGCCATGTGAGAAGTTGCCTAGCCCTGTTTTCCTTTTGCTTTCTTAACTTTCCACAACAAAAAGGGATTAGAGGAAAGGCGTTCACAAGTGGAAATTTCTGCTGGGTGGATAATTCATCCTGTGGTAGCTCTCTCCCATTTCCAAGGCCGGTTGTAAATTCATCTACCAGGGTAAATACAAATTGAGTCTTAAGGAATAGAGGAAGCCAGTAAAGAGAAGTCCCCAGTTCTCTGGAATTACGTCCACCACTGCCCCAGCCTGCCTTTTCCTGCCCTGGGCTGGTCAGTTCCTCTCCTCTACGAAAACGCCAAAGAGAAGTGTTTTCCCTTGCCCGGAGAGAACTTTTTGGACAAATACTCTGCCTTTGTGCCCCGTGACAATCAGTTTTAAGTTTCACATTTCTCTTTATCAGCAGGAAGCTCTGTTCAGCAGCAGCCTGTGTCGTTTGGGTACGAGCTGAGCCACTACGTGCTCCGACAAGAAGCTAGCCAACAAGCCCTCTCCGAAGAGCCAGGCGAGCTTGCAGTCTCGCAGCGCTGGCAGCAGTTCCTGCCCGCGGTTTTGCCCGCAGATGGCCAGGTGATAACGCCACGCTTTCCCCGAGCACTGCAACTCTGCTCCTGCTCTCTGTGCCCAAAGCACCGAGAAAGGTAAAAGAAATTCCCCACGGAAACTCTCAAACACCTCTTCAGGCTGTGAAACCTCTGTGCTGAGCACCAGAAGCTGGAACAGCTGCAGGCCACATAACCGAAAGCTTAAAAACCTGTGAGACCTCTCCACCCCGTTGTTCACACGAGACAGGACCACAGCACTGAGCCAAGCACACAGAGCAGCTTGTCTGCTCTCCCCCTTTCACAGTTCTCCTGCCACAAAAAAAAATAAAATAGCCACAACTCTGGAGAAGGAAGTCTTCCTCCATGTGCTTCTCTCAGCACTCAGAGCAATGCGAGAGCCTTTTGGAAGAGCTTTTTGATTGATTTCTCAGGAAGAAAAAAAAAAGCAAAACTAATCTGTGATTAGAAGTCACAAAGATGCTCAGTCAGGTGGAAGCATTCCTGAAAAGCAAGGGGGAAACTACCTAACAAATTCAGTCAGCTGCCTTGGAGGGTAAACAGCAAACCTGGGCACAATCTACAGATCTTGACTATTACCAACAGTGGATGTTTTTGTAGTTCTCTTCATACTTGTAAGTAAAAGTTGTTGAACTAAAAAAGTCTGTTGGATTGACCCTGCCACCAAAGCAAAGCCAAAAAATAAAAATAAAGAAAAGAAGGGTTCACTTTACAGCATTGCTCCAAATGTCTTCTGTGCTTCCAGCTGACCCGGAAGGCACACTTCTCAGCATTTACAGAACTTGGCCTAGCAGCCCATAAAAGCCTCCGTTTTAAGATGACCCGTCAGTAATGCAGATTCCTGGAGTTGCCTTAAAATGTCCTTAAAAACAGGAGACTGTTTTAGGCAGGGATAAAGCTTCCCCTCCAATCCTGTGACCCTGCAAGGTGCAGGCCAAGCATCCCTTCTGTGTGTAGCTGTGTGACACGGCTCGTTTATCGCTGAAAGAAGGCGATTCCCCTTTCTCCTTGCTTCCTGAGGAAACGGTCTCCCTCCCTGCCTCCCCCAAAAGCTCACAACAAAACTCTCTCTGCAGCAACAGCGTATTAACTGTTCGTCTCTATTCCATTACCTGCAGAGCTGCCTCAACCTGTGAATAAATATTCTTTTGTCTTTAAATAGTGTTTAAAATATTCACATTGGTTTTGAGTTTCAGCTGGCTGCAAGAAGGGACCGGAGAGGTGCCGACCTGCAGTAGTGTCTGTGGAAGAGCTGGTGGTGAGGACAAGGACGGGTGGTGAGGATGAAGGACAGGTAGGTAGGAGCTTTGGGTGGCATTCCCATTGCCCACACGACTTTTCTGCTGACATCACCAGCAACTTTTCTCTCTGGAACAAGCACTGCTGATGGTTGTAGGCAAGACAGATAATCTGGTGAAAAAAGTAAAGCTGTACGAGAGTTCCCCTGGATCCAGTGCAATGGGAGGCAGCCTGCTGCTGTTTTGATCCTCAGGTAACCAGGTTTGACCCCGCCACCTTTACCAATGTCATAAGCAAGCTTCACCTTGCCTTCAGCAGCAAGGCGATGAGCAAAAAGCCCTCCTCTTCCTCTCTCCCCTGACCCTACTCTCACCATTGTGCTCAAAGCGGCAGCATTTTGCATTCCCCAACGTGTTTACTGGGACAAAAAAGGGAGAAGTGTTTCATTTCTCTCCTGGTGTGTGACTGTCTGAACACCTTTGTTAACATGACTGCGTACAAGTGCTGTAGATCTGTGAAACCTGCCTGCAGACAACACACACAGTTAACTTTATTTGAAATACACACCCTAGGAAATCTGCAGACAGTCCTACAGCCCTTCTAATCCTATTTTATACACCCTTCTCAGGGCAAGTATCACGTAGAAAGCCCCCTTACCAGGCAGAAAGACGATAAAACCCTCCAGTGAACTGCTGAGCATAACCAGCTGCAACGCCGTGCAACCAAAAATGCCATTAATCATTTACATCAGGAAATGCCAAAGGAAGGGAGAGCACACAGCCTTATCTGCTCCTTGTGTACACATGCAGGTTACAGGCTGTGGTTAAACCAGTCGTTCGCAGGACACGCAGCAGCTAAATGGGGCTCTGCTCCCTGGCCCTGGCTGCCGACTTTGTGTCTCCAAAATCCAGAATCGCCGTGCTCACTGCCTGCACGAGCTGTGTCTAAAACTGCCTGCAGCTGCTGCTTCTTCATCTCGTGGAATTTTTATCAGTGCCGATTTAATGCCTTCCCTCGAAAGGTATAAAATCTGTTTCTTGTAGAACATCACATAAGGCATTTCTGCCTGGCTTTAATCGTATTTTAAATGAGTGTCTTTTCAGCCCCAGAGGGAAAGCTTTCTGGTAGCGTCTGAATGCTGTTAAATCACTTCTTGATCCTCTGTACGGAGATGTGCAAGTGGCTGCAAAAGTTACTCTGCTGACCAGGACTCCGGAGCAGCTCTTCTGGTGAGATCTTCCTCCAGTGCACTTCTTTTTTCCTTCAGAACAATTCCAGGTCGGGCTTTTTGGTTTCCAGTGCTGACCTGGGAGGTAAGTCCTCTCCTAAATAATGGGAACTGAGTCACGTCCAGTACCGTGCCAGCACAGGTAGCTGTCACTTTGCCCTTCTGCGAGTGTATCAAGCTTACAGCAAAACCAGCCAGCGTGTTCTGCTAAAAGCCTGCAGTCCCCTCTGCACCTCGCTCTCTGAGGTCTTACTCCTGAAAGAGGCACGAAGGGACCCAGTAAATCCTCTGTGTATAGACTCCTTTTGCCACCTCCTGCAGGTTCCTTCAAAGTTTGCTTTGTCCCCTCTGAGCTGTCTGTTCATTTTTTGGAGGGGTGTCAGGTGGCTGGAAGTGCACGTGTGAAGTTTACTGACACAGACCTGGAAGTGTGAGCCTTTTAACGTGCAGAACTGCTGTCATCAGATAAAGGTAGCCATGAAGAAACATCCTAAAACCCTCTCTGCTTTTACCATTACAGGTGGGAGGCAGGAGCTGTGCAGACAAACCACTAAAAGCCCCAGGACTGCTCCGAAGATGAAGTTACACGCTGCCTTCTGGTGATCCAACCGCCACCACTTCTCAAAAACAGGAGCGCCCTGCAGCCTCCGTCTCCTGCTTTGTTTATTTACCGCCAGGTGAGGGAGCGAAACCGGCTCAGCACAGGGCCCAACACGTGCCAAGGGCTGGGAGGAGAGCAGGGCTTCCCCTTCTGGCTCCAGTGCACTCTGCTGGGACAGCAACAGCTCCCCGGAGACTGCTGCACGTTCCGACACGCGAATTTACAACCTGGTAAATGGGGGGGAAGGCGCAGCTCTCGGATCCACTCGCAGTTTCTACACGGCTGGCTAGGGTGACGGAAGACCCGATGACAACACAAACGAGCAGGGCAAGCGTTGGGCAAGCAGCAGCCCAGGCAGCTTGCTAGCTCTAGCCAGCGGTGGGACACTGCACCCAGACAAGTGCAGAGGAGAGTGTCTGTCTGCTTAAGAGCTGTGGGTGTTTCACCAGCTCTAACACGTGTACTTGAGGCAGAAGAAACACCCTGTTAGATGGAGGGAGGCAAGTACCTAGCACGTAAGCTTTGTCACAGGCCATCATCAACATTAAGCACCGAATTAAAAAAAAAATATTAGCAGAGGCTTAGCATTTAACGCCTTAAGTAGTAAATCCACAGCAAATCCTCCTGAATTAGATCCAGGAGGTATGAGTAAAATGTATTTTAACTCGTTTTTTAAAGTTTTCTGAGGTGCCACCTGAGGCTCCCAAACAACTGATCTCCACCTTGATGTCGGCTTTGTCAGCGCTCTGCAAATCAGATGGCACCCAGCGCCTCACACACCCCTCTGCGGCTCAGGAATCTCCTTCTGGTACAGAAAAAGCAAACCGTTCATTTGCATTTAGCCCCCCTCTTAAACTTATGTAACCTGAAAGCCTCCAGCAGACTGAGGCTGAGCTAAGCAGTGGGTTTGTGTGGTTAAAGGAAATTTGCTCTAGAATTACGCATGTTACCACTTAAAACAAAATGTTTGCAGAAGGAAGAAGAGACGCGCCTCCCCGTTTGTGCACGCTGACTCTGAACACAAAAGGCAGCAGCTGCTGCGAGCTACCTAACTGTAAGTTTTTCTTTGCAATGTTTTAGATGTAAATTAAGTAAAGACTCACCCGGGTGTGCAGATTAATTATTTTTTCTCCCCTGATTCCCTTTCACTTCACTTCCAGAGTCCACACACACCTTGTTGGAATCACGTTCTGGCTTACTTCTGGCCAGACTGGTGTGAGAGCTAAATATTGCTGTGCTTGGCGAACCCAGAGACAAGCCTGCCTTGCTTTTTGTAAAAATAAGACCGGTAATGAAAAACAACCAGAGTCTGAACGATAAAAAAATCCCAGCTTATCACACGAAACGGAGTTTTATAAATACCCTCGCAAGGCAAGAAAACAAGTAGCAGTCATAACACCACTTACTTGTGGAGAACTCCCACTGCAGAAGTTACCCAGCTCCTAGTGACAGCAGGCGGGGAGAGGAGAGCCACGCACACCGAACTCAGACTGACCGCTCCTGCCTTCCGAGGCAGGCAGCAGAACGGCTGATTACACCAGGTCCCCTCGGCCCTGCAGGAGTTGTGCTTTCCTGACAACGCCACTGCTACCAGCACAGGGAAAAAAAACACCCTTACAAGCAAAAACAAGCTCTATCAGTAAAAGTCCACTTGTGCAGATAACTGCATCTACAGCCGGGGCTTCTGCTGGCACAGCTATGTCAGTCACGGGTCACACTTCGTCACCGTGCTCGCAGACAGAGCTGTGCCAGCAGAAGTTTGCCATATAGACCTGGTGTGAAGCTCAACAGCCATCAAAGTGAATCCGCAAAGTTTCGCGTTTTTCAGGCCACTGCCAAATGAACTTTTTCCAACCAACACCCTGACGATCGGCATTCTTGCTCCTGTGTCGTGGGCACGTTAGCATCCTGGCTTCCGAGGGGAGAAGAAACCTAAACTTAGCCCAGGAATGTGGCAACACCTTTCATCCACTGACATCGTACTTTAAATTCACAAACTAAATTAGAAAGCAGGAGCCCCTGCAGGAAGAAAAGGCAGAAACGAATAAATTAAGTTCTGCTCTACTTTGGCACTCGCAGTGCTCAAAAGTTCTCGCTTTTAATAGCGAGAAGAGAACAAAACCGAAAGCGTTTGACGGGATGTGTTTAGCAGACAGCAAAGCACTGCAAAATCCCCCCCTGGTTGAGTTAAACCGAACGGGCCGGCTGCAGGAGGCCTTTTATCACCCACAAACAGCTCTGAAGACAGCGGGCCAGGAGATTTCACGCCCCGGCGGATGCTCGAGCATAAGTTGTGTGCGGATGAACCGACACGGCAGCGCGGGTCAGGCACACGGCGAGGCACGGAGCTGTCCCGGGGCACGGAGCAGCAGCATTACGGGATAAAATCACCAATTTCTGTGCCAGTTCCAGCCCAGCTCGGTGTGGTTACGGGGAGAAGGGAGGCATGAAGGCGCTGGCCGCGCAGAGGCCACGCTCCTCCCCTGCCAGAGCTGGCCCTGCACACCCGGGTGCAGCTTCGAGGAATTCCTGGGCTTTTGTCGCAGGGCAGGCGGCACGCACAGAAACGCACTTTGTGATTTTTTTTTGTTTGTTTGTTTTTTTGTTACAAATCGTGCAGCACAACCATCCCGGAGGAGCGGCAGCGGCTAAAAATACCCGCCTTATCGTCCCTTGCCTTATCGCCCGCGGCCAGCAGCGCCCTGGAGCCGAGCTGCCTCCCCCTCGGCTTCACCCTGTGCCCCCCGCCGCCCCCCTCACCCCGAGCCCGGGGCCCCGCTCCCCGCTCCCCGCTCCCGGTCCCCGCTGCCCGCGGCCGGGCGGGCGGCGCAGGCCCCGACATGGCGGCCCCGCTCCCCGGGCAGGCCCCGGCGGCGCTCACCTGCATCCGGCGCGGCTGGCGGCGGGGCGGAGGAGGAGGAGGAGGCGGCGGGGCGGCCGGCAGCAACGACATGCGGGCGGCGGCCCGCCGGGGACGGGGACCGGGACGGGAAGGGGACGGGAAGGGGACGGGGAGCCGGGGACGGTGGCGGCGGGGAGGAGCGGGCGGCGCGGAGGGCGGGGGGAGGGAGGTGGGGACGGGAGGAGGAGGAGGAGGAGGAGGAGGAGGAGGGAGCGGGCGGGGCTGGGGACTGAGGGGGGATCGGGGCGCGGGACCCCGAAATGTGAAGGGATCCCGAAATGGTGACGGGATCCCAAAGTGGTGAAGGGACCCTCATTTGGTGACAGGACCCTGAAATGGTGAAGGGACCCTGAAACGGTGACGGGACCCTCAGATGGTGACGGGACCCCAAAACAGTGACAGGACCCCGAAATGGTGACGGGACTCTCAGATAGTGACAGGATCCTGAAGTGGTGCTGGACCCTCACATGGTGAAGGGACCCTGAAGTTGTGATGGGACCCTCAAACAGTGGCAGGACCCCAAAATGGTGAAGGGACCCTCAAATAGTGACAGAGCCCAGAATGGTGATGGGACCCCAAAATGGTGAAGGGACCCTCAAATAGTGATGGGACCCCGAAATGGTGAAGGGACCCTCACATGGTGACAGGACCCTCACATGGTGACAGGACTCTCAAATGGTGACAGGACCATCAGTGACAGGACCCTGAAGTGGTGCTGGACCACAAAATGGTGAAGGGACCCTCAAATAGTGATGGACCCCAAAATGGTGCTGGGACTCTCACATGGTGATGGGACCCCAAAATGGTGAAGGAACCCTCAAATAATGATGGGACCCCAAAGTGGTGCCCCAGCCCAAAATGGTGCCACAACCCTAGCGAGGCCACCCCGCACTCATTAAGAGCCACCCAACACAGTGAGGTTAAGCAGCCCTCCACAGCTAATTGTTGCCATTAATTACAGTGAGGAGCATTCTCCAGAGCCTACATGAAGAGGGCACCCCACAAAGGCCTGCCGAGCTGAGGAAGTGAGGCAGATGTCAGGGAGAGCGGGCCCCACGCCGAGCATGAGGCAGAAGCCGAGCACTGAGGGTGTAGGTGGTGCCTCAGCTCACATTTGTCACCTCTTTTTCTCCAAAGGAAGCGTCTGTCTGCTGCAAAACCTTTCAGGCGCCCACGCTGTGGCTGTACAGGCGTACACGTGTGGCTGTACGTGTCTGAGGGCAGATGAAGCACGGGGACGCAGGTAAACAGCGTGCCAACGTTAGAGCACATTTTCTGCAGTTGGGCACACCGAAGTTGGAGGTTGCCTTCTTCTCAGGGCTGCTCCTAAGTTCAAAGAGGAAAAATAGGGGTGTTGCATGAGGACAGAGCATGGATTCAAAAAAGAAAACAAAAAAAAAAAAAAGAAGAAGAAAACAGGGGTGGAGAGGGGTGTAGGTCTTTGTGTGCTCATCTGTGGGATAGCACAGGAGGGAAAACTGGCAACAAAAGTGGCATAGAGCTGCCGGGAAGTACCTGTGAGGTACCTTGCAGCAAGCAGCTGAGGAGGTGTAGGGTAGGACAAGCAGTTCTTACTGAAACTCATTTCTTCTGCAGCTCTCTAGACTCATGCCGGACTCGTTTATGTTCAGAGTACAAGAAGCGTGGAGGGAGCCTCCACGATTTTTCAAGGGGTTCTGTTAGCAAATGGAGTAAATGAGTAAGCGGGAGCAGGCACAGACATATAGAGCAGGGCAGAGAGAAAGGAGGGCGAAAGAAAAAAGCCTCTTCAAATAGAAGTTTAATGGCCTGCCTTTCTTAAGAGAAAAATCATGTACAGCCTGTTAAAGGCTTTGGTACTGACTTCTTTGATGTTGGTACCTTTAACTGATTCGCTCATTACTCCTCTCCCCTGAAAAATACAAACGGAGCAGTGAAGGAGGACTGTGCCCTCCCTTTTTCCCCTGCCTGGGTTAATCATTCTGTAGGTTTCCCAGCTCCCGTTACAGGCCAGGGCCTCGCCACCCTCACCTCAGGTACTGTTTCCCTCCCTTCTCAAAAGGGAGCGTAACTGAGAAACCAGGTTCTGCCAGTGGCCTGCCCGGGGTCACCGCCAGCAGGATCAGCATCTCCTGGGGGCTCCCCCACCCCTTGTACAGCAAACCGCAGCCTCCCCAAGGCCCTGCTTCCTTCGCAGAATAAATTTGTTATGTCTGGGTTCCTCACCGCGCTGTGCACAGGAGGTATTCAGAGTATCCGTACAGGTGATACGGAAGAATCATTAACAAGTTAACCGTGAGCCTGTGTTTCCCCACAGAGCCAAACCCCACGATCTGCAGCAGTGACCTTCTGTTGAACAAATGGGAAGCTCATGAGGGGATTCAGAAGTCGTGGAGGAACAGGGTGAAGGATGTGGGTTGTTACCCGATCACATGTGCATAGTAAGTAGGCTTGCATGGTAAGTCTTGTATTACGTTTGCCACCACTCTAGGATATGCAGGTGCCTATTGCCCATCCAAAAAGAAACCCCATTGCCCAAACCTGATCTGCCTCTGTGCTTGGATTTTGTGCTTTTTCACTTGTCGTTAAGACTTTTTAACCGAGGAGGTTTTCTTCCTCCTGTCACCCTTGTACCTTCCCATCTTCCTGGATCCTTTCCTGGGATACAGAGTGAACAGTTACACTGGAGAAACCTGTATCGGGTTTGCTATGCCATGCTTTGCATATGCACATAACATCAGCTACTCTGATTTAAAAATAACAATTCTAGTTCAAGAGGCTCCCTGCCGTATTTGGGAATGCACGAGGAGATGTAAACATCAAACAGCTGCCTGCAAAACAACTGCCAGGCCTTCAGCAGGGCCACTACCCATTCCCCGTGGTCCCTGTAGAGACTAAAGCTGTGTTTCTTTCTTCACCAAAGGGGCACGGTGATCTGGGCTGAGACCCCTTCCCGCTCTGACATCCAGTGAGTGTGGCAGCCTCTCAGCCAGAAGTAAAAGAGCACAAAGGCACTGAAACAGCAAGAGAATATGGCAGACTAGGTCAGACCCCTATCAGAGTCTGTTAAAGTCAGAAAGAAGCTTACAGGGAAAAATTGGACTCGTGCTACTGGAGAACACACTGCTCAGAAGAGAAACGTCCGGTGTCAGTGTGAGCCAGATGTTTCACAAACACTTCAGAGCAAACCACTAGGTGAGATAGATAAACCTCTCTTCCGAGTTCTAAGAAAAGAAACAAAAAAGAATTTGGAGAATATTCTTGGTCCCAGGTTCATCAGGGAGGGAATAAAACCGTAGAAGTTAGTGTATTTATAGCCAAGAGCATGTCAGTGTGAAATAAGTGGGCCCCTTTAGCGAGCAGGAGACTGGAATACAGCTCATGGTGTGTACTGGAGCAGCTCAGCATCCGTGCTCCACAGGTGGGTTTGTAGGCAGCCGACGTCTGGGGCAGGCAGAGCTTTGTTAGGGACTCGCAGCACATCATTCTGCAGCAGAGCAGCCGATGCTAACCCGCAGGGGAGCTTCTTGCACCCCGTGTGTGAGCACTGAGGCAGGGGAAGCGGGAGGAGACCGGTGAGCAGCCACAGCAGGCTGGCAGCGGCACACACGCTGCATTTCTCCTGCGACTCCTTCTGCCTCGTTTCTGTTTTATTATGTTTACGTGTGAGCTCTGTGTGGCACTTTTCAGGTTTTTGGCAGCTCCCAGCTTAAACCACGATGATTTTAAACCCTCTCCCCTGGCCGCTGCGGGCTGTGGCAAAGCGACGCGGGGCCTGACAGGACTGGGGCATGGCGGCGGTGCCTCACGCTCCCCTTCATAGCGCCCTCCCTTCACACACACCACACCACCCAGCCCCCTGCAAGCACCGAGGGGCGTTTTTTGCTGCTCTGCCTTTAGACCCAGCCGGGACAGCGCCGTTTCCCCCGGCTTTAAGGAAAAAAGCGAAGCTGGGGGGGGGGGGGAACCTTTGAGCAGGGGGAACGCCGGGCGCCGGCAGCGGCGCGGGGGGGACGGCGGGGCGGGGGCGCCGCCAAGGGCTCGGCGGGGCGGGCGCGCAAGATGGCGGCCGCCGGCGGCCGCTGCGTGTGGAGAGGTGAAGGGGGGGGGGGGCGGCTCCCGGGGCTCGTGTGTGTCCAGCCGGTCGCTGTGCTCCTCGCCCTCACCCCGATGGGGATGAAGGGAGCCTGAGGAAGCGGTCTGGCGGCCGGCTGAGGCGCTGTTTGTGTTTTTTTCCCTCAGTTCTGGCTCCGCACTGCCGATGGGCTTTGGCCGCCGCCTTGCCTCGCCCCCCGCAGCCCGCCTGCTGCTACGCCGCGGCCGCCAAGTGAGTGCCTGAGGTGTTGGCCTCGCTCCCAGCTGCTCTCAGGGGCTTAAACAGCGGGAGGGTCCCAGGGAAGCAGTGTGGGGAGGGGAGGTCGAGGCTGGGCCCGCAGGGAGGGTTTTCGGTGGTGGTTCAGGTGAGGAGTGCAGCGGCTGTGGGGGGAAACGCGGTGGGGTTTGGTGGGTGGTCGGGAAAAGGATGGCTGGGTGACAGCTGGAGGAGTCGTGTCAGCGTGGAAGCTGCTGAGCTTATGGAATTGGGTTCAGACCATTCCTCTTCTCGCCTCACGTTATCATAAAATCACAGAAGCACAGAGTATCGTGAGCTGGCAGGGATGCGCAGTGATCATAGAGCCCAAATGCTGGCTCTGCAGAGGACCACCCAAAAATCAGACCAGATGTCTGAGAGCGTTGTCCAAATACTTCTCAAATTCCAGCAGGCTCAGTGCCTTGACCACTGCCCTGGGCAGCCTGTCCCAGTGCCCGACCACCCTCTGGGTGCAGACCCTTTCCCTAACCCCCAGCCTGACCCTCCCCTGTCCCAGCTCCATGCCGTCCCCTCGGGTCCTGTCGCTGTCCCCAGAGAGCAGAGCTCAGCGCCTGCCCCTCGTGTGGAACCCAAGCTGAACAAACCAAGTGACCTCAGCTAGACACCTACATTGCTTTGATGTTTCTTAAAATCTGATACCACTGTGTAAGTGGGAGAAGAAAAATGGGTTCTGTGCACAGAAGAGTGGAGCATGCTGTATACCAGGAGCGCTGGAGTATAGTTAACTTTTTCAATTTTAACCTTCATTTTAATAGAGGAATGGAGTATCCTTTTCTACCTCTATTTTTTCCGCTCGTTTTGAAAGCCTTTCAAAATAGCAGAGTTAAAGACTGGGGCTTGTGTTTGTTAACTCCACTGGAAACTTGATTTGTCTTCGCCATTTGAGACAAGCGATTGGAGTGAATTTAAGGATGTTACTTGCTCTTAGGTGCAGAGCCTACCTTAGTAACTACTCGTTAATTAACTGACATATGACAGTGTTTACTTCTTTTTCTTGAAGCAAGTGCCTGACTCTTATGCTGATGATCTAACAATGGTGTTTGTTTTCTTCTTGTCTCAGAAATGCAAAAAAAGGTTCACAAAAGGCCAAGCAGGAAGAAGCAAAAAAGAAAAAAGGAATTATCAGGCGGCCTCTGATGAGCAAGCCAGTGGATGACGTGTACCTGACGTGGCTTTACAAGCGGCCATCCTATAATGTAGAAGAGGCTGTTGGTATGCTAAAGAAATTTCAGGAACTAGACTTCACGCACCCCAAACAGTATGTGTATATTAATGTGTTTCTAGATACGGCGCTGCAGAAGAAGGTAAGTTTGAAGAGGATAAGGAGGTGTTTTGATTTTTTTTTTTTTTTCCAACGTGGGAAGGCTGTGTTTTAAATGTAGAGTAGATGTTTCTGTTGGCCTTCTCAGCTGCTTCTTCCAACTGCACTGTTTACTGTCAGAATACAGTCTGCTTTTGCAGGTGGCTTTATGCCTTTATTGCGTGTGTGCTTATTAAGTATGGCTCAAATTCTTGGGGTCAAAGTAGGCACCTTCAAGAATTTCAAAGGTGGGCTATTACGTGGCTGAAAATCAGGTCCAGGCAGAACAGATCAAACTGAACTTCACATTTGTTTAGGCTTTCCAATTGAAGGTGTGTTACCAAAATCATGCTTGTACTTTGTTCTGGATTCGTTTTTATAGGGAGAAGTGTAGATTAGCTTCTTCCCGTCTCTGTCCCCTGTGTTTTTATTTTTGTTTTTCAGTCGTGCACCTTAAAAGTAGGGTATTGTTTGCTTATGGTGTTTTTTTGTGGGTACTGTTGGAGTGAAGGCACTTATGCATACACAGCTCTTCTTTACCAAGAGGCAGTGAAAAGGAAGCCTTTTGTTGTCGTTTTGAAGAACCTTATTTCATCATTTATTTCTGTGGATCTTTGGGGTTCACGCATGAGCCCTATTACATCGCTGCACGTCAAAGAGCTGCCAGTATCCTCAGCAATTAATGGGAGGTAGTTTCACTTCCCTTGACCACAGTTGGTACTAGTTTCTAGTCAGTATAACAGACTGGACTTGAATCCAGAGCAGAAGGACTTGCTCTGTTACCTTAATGAAGTGCAAGAGAGCCAGGATTCCTGTTAGGCTGCTGAGACTGTCATTTCTGGAGGACTTTCTTTCAGCTATTTGTTTTTTTCTGGCTTGGATTAATGACAAGTTCGTGTTAAGTGGAAATGTCAATGTGAGCACTTTTCATGACACTGGAAGTGGGTGGTGTCCTTGCAGGTCTTCAGAGGACGCTGGTTAAGAAATGAGAAAAAAGTATGAACAAATTTTTCCTAGGTGACATTTCTCACACTCTCAGCTTCAGAGGAGGTTGTTAGGAGTCTGGCCTGAGTGTTGTCTTGGTGGAGTTTTTTAGCTCTTATTGCCAGTCTTCCCTTTTGTCAGTTCAAAGGCACCTAGCCCAGTTTGGATTTTCCCTGAAACTTTCTCCTTCCCTCAGAGCTAGAAAACAGTTTGGTCCCTTTAAAGTTTATTTCTTTGTGCATGTAACTAAATATCCCTTTGGTATACCAGGGTCACTTAGAGCTAGGTAAGTTTATGCTTACACAGACCTCTTGTTCCTGCTTCCAGTAGCATTGAGGCATTCTTAAGCGTTGGTGAGAGACACATTTCTTGCTGATGCTATGCACTGGCCACTACCTCCTCAGAAACTTAATTTAAATGAGCTGTGACTGCAGAACCCCGCTGTGTTACTGACAGCACCTGAGCATGGCAGCGGTTCCACATGTGGGAGTTGCTGACCCCAGCCCCTTTCTCTTGGGCGAGTATCAGCGTACATAAATCATATTTTTATATCCATGATTAATATTGGATTAATCCTGTGCATTGTGCTGGTTTATTGTGATTATTACGTGCAAGTATATTGTGGGTAAAAATGTTTTAGTCAGAGATGCTTGCATCTGTGCATTTGCGTGGGTGCAAAATTATTTAGTATAACTTGTGCTGAAGTCATGATTTCTTTTTTGTTTCAATCTTTTCCTTTATTTTTAGAAAAAAGTTGATCCGTTTGCAAGCACTGTTCTTCTTCCGCATCGCTTTACAGATGAAGTGAATAAGGTCCTGGTTTTCACAGAGGTGGGTAAGCACGAGTTACTTAGTTACGTGTGTTACGAGCCTAGCGTGCTCTTGCATGGGACCTAGTCGTGTTGTATGCGTTGTACCTTGTGTTGGGAAGGCTTTCCAAATGCTTTGCAGGATTCTCAAGCCTGTTGAGGTTTCATCTTCAGCAGTACCTTAATGTGTTAACAAGCACCTTGAGTTTCCTTCATGTTGATTTGTCTACATGTACGTAATTAATTCTAGCAATGCACTCAGGGAGTGAACATCTGCATAGGTGTGACTGAGGGAGAGAAATGATTGAAGTCTGTTTGCAGAGTAAAAACTTGGATTATCCTGTAATAAAGGTGGACAGTTCGGTTTAGCAGTCGTGCCTAACCTTGCTGTCTGAAGCCTTAGTAGGCAGTGCAAATTGTGAGTTACTCGCAGTGGCTTATGCTGTAACGGCTTGCCATTGAGTGGTGGTGGTGTTCAGTAACTTCTCTAATACAAAACACAGACAACCAATCTAAATAATGCTACAACCCTACCCTGCCTCACCCCCAAACCTTTCATCTGCTGTGCTAGGAGATCACTGATGTGAAATGGTGTGGAGGCCCTCTGTAGCATCTGTGTGAGGCTAGTTCAGCCTCTTTGCTGCTGTCCTTTGCCTGTTAATCTTTCTAACAAAATAACCTCTATGAGATGACTCTAGAGAAGTGCCCTGGCTTTAGTTGATGAACCTTTGAAAACAAGAAAAACAAAGGTAACTTCTAAATGCTATTTGAAGCAAAAGTTTACTAGCACTTTCAGAAGTAAATAGCCGTATTTTATGGTGGTTTTAAGAAGCATGCTTCATGCTTTTCTTTTAGCTTTGAGTAACAGCACATGTTGACTCCACCTAGTGGATGGTTGGTTGAAGCTTCCGGAGGCTAACGATCAGGGAGAAAGGGCTTGTAACAGAGCTGTTCCCCAAAGGGATGATTTTTTTTTTTTTTCTCCAGAAACAAATTGAACGCTTGAATATTGCTTTCTGTTAAGACTGGAAGTGAACAGGGGTTGCTGCTCCAATACTAAATCGCCAGTGTCAGATATATTTTTTTCATCTTTGGTTTGTCTTAAATCATTCTTCCTTTCTTAAGTAGTATATAGTCTGTTCTTACATCGCATTGTCAAGATAAAGAACCTATCCAGTGCTGTTGATATAGACTAATTGGTAGTAGGCATGCTAACAAATTCTTTTTCTCTCAACAGAATGAGCAAGAAGCTGAAATAGCTCGAGAGAATGGAGCTGCTGTTGTAGGAGGAGTTGAATTAATCAAATGGGTATTTATTTATTTTTTTAAAGAATTATCTAAATTAAACATTGTAGCTTGTAACAGTGACCAAGTGGGGAGGGAACAAGGAACTTCATGTCCAGCCAGCTCTAGCTTGAGGTTAGCAGCCAATATAAAGAGTAAGATACTGGCTTCTGTGCTCTGACATTTTTGTACATAAAAGTTGTGTACTTGGTTAATTTATTGTGTTCCTAAATATATTTTACTTTGTTTTATTGGAGATTTTGGAAGATGAAATCCAAGTGGACTCCTATGTAGCTGTTCCTGCAATAATGCCTAAACTAATACCGTTAAGAAACAAGCTGAGACGAAAATACCCCAGCACAAAAAGAAGTAAGAAGCATTTTTATTTTTTTTTAATAGATCTAAGTACTGGAACAAGATTAACTCTTGAGGTGATTTTTTTTTTTTATGAGGACATATAATTACACTGAGTATTTGACTGCATATGACTGAGCCACTCCTTTTGTCATATGTGAAAGTTGTTTTAGGAACCTAGTACTGTGCCTTTCCCCTACAACAAAAATGTTGGGATTACAGTCAAGGTAAGTTTGTCAACTAGTTAATATCTAATCAACTGTAATAGTACTGCAAACTTTATGTAGTGAAGTTATGTAGGAAAATAGAAACAACTCTGGGGAAAAAAGATGTTCACTGATAGTTGCGCTGTCTGACTGTTGTGCAGTTGTTTGGATCCCAGCCACATGACTGCTCTATGTACTCGTCTGTGCTTCTTAATAACAATATTTATGTTTCTTGTTAGTATAACCTGTTAGCTTCTCTGTGTGGTCGCTCCCTTTTCATTATGCTCAAGGAACTTCCTATTCAGATCGGGTTCTCACGGCATCAAATGTCTCTGAATATTTTGTCTGCCTTGCTGACTTGAATTATTTTTGCTGTATTTCGGGGTGTCTTCCTAACACAGGAAAAAAGTTATTCACGTGAGCTGTGTCAGTTGCATGAAACGCGAAATCTTGAACCAAATTCCCTTTCCCTGCTGCTCTAACAATGTTTTTACAGGCTGCAGGCAGTGTTTTTAGCCTCCTAAATGTTTGAGGCAAACATACAAACCTGTCCAAAGCATTGCAACAGGATACTCCAGATGTTCTGGGGACAAACAAAAGCTATATTATGCCATTACAGACTTGCTTGCTTTGTAGGTTACTGGTGGCTGCTTTCTCTTGGAGCCGCTCAAAGGCATATGGGAGAAATAATACTTGCAGTTGAAGCAACTGAGTGGTGCTGTAAATCTGTCAAATGAGCTGCAGCTGAGATAACAAAACAGCTGTCTTGACTTGTTCAATGGCTGGACTGGGCCAGGATGTTTCAGGTAGTGTGTAATCTTGGTATTGCACAGTTGCGGAGTGTTTGTTTTCAAGGTAGACGCTTGGGGCTTATTCTAAATTTAACTCAGTAGGTTCTGATCTTCCAAACTAATTATATTAGGAATTAGGTAATAATGACTGCTTATGTACACTCTTCACAGGTTCTTTATTTGGAGTGAAATCTTCCTTATTTATTTATTTATTTTTTTTAACTCTATCTCCTATTAATGTCTGCTGATTAATGAGGAAGGAAGGAATATAGAGAGAGATTTTCATAGGAGATGTGTGAGGATGCAGTTGTTCATGAAACTACATTTTTGTTTGGAGTTTAACTGCTTTAGCTGAAACATTGAATTTTCCCTTTTCTAGTAGTATATTATGCCCTGCTCATAAACATTAACCGGATTTTTTTTTTTTTTTTTACTTAGATTCCCTGGGCCACGATATCCCCAAAATGCTGCAACTCTTTAGAGAAGGTCTAGAGTACACGGTAGAAGACGAGCGCTTAATCAAGACAAGAATAGCAAGAGTAAGTATGGAGAGTTCTTAAGTGTTCTCTTCTGAGCAGAGTTGAAATTAGTATTAAAACAGGTAAGAAAAGTTTTTGATCTGTGCATTTTCAAGATTTTAAGTGTTGTTTCACTGACTAAAAAGAACTTTACTGTTTCTTGCGCAACGTGCTCAGCTGATGTGAGCCTTGTGTGTCACTGAAGTATGGTGATGGAAGCTGGTTCCACTGAGAGCAAGACATATCTAATGCTGAGAAGTTAAGGATGCCAAGAGTGGGATCTCTGGATCAAGCTGTATTCACATGAACCTAATAATTAAAGGCTGGTTTAATTTAGGGAATTTTTAGTTGTGGTTTGATTTTAAGAACTTTTAGTTCTGGTTCAGGGGAGGAAACAAACCAACAGTTTGCATCACACCTGAAATATAAAATTAATCTGAGCTTTGACTACTGTCATAAGAAACTGGGTTATTGAAGGGAGGTATCTTATCTCTTGTTATAGGCTCTTGAGCTTTTTTCCTTTTTTTTTTTCCCTCTTCCAAATTGTTTTACTTCCATTCTGTTTTGTCTATTTGTAATCCTACCCGTTTTTAACTTTAACTGATACTGGTACAGAAAGGAAGTTCACAAGACTTCTGTTCTCTGCAGTTCTGTCTGGTGATATTAGATAAGCAAGTTTGTTGATTTTGGCTAGCTCCTGTGAGTTGTACATATGAATTTAAAGGACTTGTTCTTCTGTACAATATCTCAAAACTGAGGTATTTGGGACTATTCTCCTAAAATATGTTATGTATTAGATTCTCATAGAGGCAGGAGGTATCTTTAGCTGTCTCTAAGTGTGATGTGACTATATAAAACACTTAAAATCCATAGATAAAATGGAAGAAGAAAAAAAAAGAAAATATTTTCAAGTGTTTTGCGTGTATTCTACATCTTTATTTTTTTGCTTTGGACTACTTTAATTTTAATCCTCTTGATCAGCCTTTAAAATACCTGCAAATTAAATGTCTTTTAAAGTTCTTTTCACACTTAATCTAAAATTTCTTTTTTTTAATAACAATCAAAGCTTGGATAGTTTGACAGCATTCCATGCAATTGCAGTTGGTCGTACTAGGTATAGCTCTTTACTGCTGTGGTTAGAGTTTTTGAGACTTAAACCACGTCCTGTTACTGCCATGAGCTGCTGGTGTTACAGGGCACCTTAGGTTCTTTGTCTGGGCGGCTCAGGCTCTGCATTTCTATAAGCACTTCTGAAGCTATGGTGCAGCCAGAGATGTCATCTTTTTTTAATTATAATTAGTAAATAACAGGTTCTTGTGAATGAGCTCTTAATCTTGGATCGGAAATAGCGTGCTGGGGGTTTGCTTGTGTGCAGTTGAGCTGTGGTAAGGTAACATCAGCTCTGTGGCAGAGGTGACTCCACCGCAGTGGACGTGACGTGTTCGGGGAGTTGGACGCCGGAGGATGACTGTGGTTACGGCTCGTGTAAAAGGTCTCCACCCTCAGAAGCTGCTCTCCTGCGCCTGACCTAGTTGTGCTGCTGGTTGTGCAGCGCCGCCGGGAGGAAATCTGGCACGGGCAAGGCTCTGGGAGGTGGTGGAAGCCTGAGTGGTTATGCATGTCTGCTCACCACTAAATCAAGAGCTCTTTAAATTTAAACCTTGTCAGTGAGAAAATAATCATTTGTGAATTACACAGAAGCGTAAAGATCTATTGCTTTGTTCCAGGCAGTGGCGTGGATGTTTCTGGGACTCTGCCAGGCCGGTGTTTCTCAGAGAGCTTTTCTCTTCAGTGCTGCTTGCTGTCTCATGTTGCCTGTTAGCTCAGTCATGGCCCATAGCTTGAAGTAACGCCGCCCTCCCACATAAGTCAGCAGCCTCAGTGGTGTTTTCTTATGTAGTGAGTAATTGAGATGTCTTTGAAAAGCCCGGGAGTTGGCAATGGTTAAGTCTAATTAGTAGATTAGTTGTGAAACCTAGAATGCCAAGTCTGCTTTTAAGACACAGAGCTTAGAGCAGGAGAGAGACAACTGAGGCACTTGGGATGTCTACTTCAGAACCATGCTATCTGAAGAGGGCAGCTTGAAGGTTCTGTTGAGGGTTTTGACATAGCTTTTGAATTGGGATAGGCTGCTGTTGACTGCTATGAAGTATTCTTTCTCCCAGGTTGGAGGTGTTGTCTTTAGCAAATGTAAAGGTGACACCAGGAAGTAGTTTTTGGTTTGTTTTTGTGTCTGTGCAGGGGGCTGCCTGGGAATTGGCTCTCTTGTGAAATGCAGGAAGGTTATTTTGAGTTGGGACTTGAGTTTGTTTGGAAGGGTATACATTTTGGGAAGGGACATGCACAGGAGCACCATTTCCTTTAGAGGGTTAGAAGTGTGGAGAGAGGTGTACTGAACCAGAGGCCTCTCAAACTTGGGGAGTAGAAATCATGAGTTGAGGCTGGAAATGGCAATTTGCACTGGCAGTAGCACCTACCTCCCTCGTCTGTCAGTGTCGGGAGGGCCAGAAGTGTCCTTGCAGGCTGTGAGGGACATGGGGCCTTACAATAATACGTAGCTCAGCAAGAGCTGAAGGTCTTGTGGAGCTCTTGATGGTATGTGCTGCACCGAAGTAATGTCTTCCTAGTAATCCTGTATGGCAAAAGGCTTGAATTTGGAACAAAACAGGATGTTTTGGAACAAAACTGAGGATGGCAAAAAACATAGCGAAGTAAACTCGAACTGGAAACAGCACTTTACAACAGCGAGGACCAAGGGCACAGCCTCAGTAAGGGGTATTCTGTGCCTGCATTTGTCTTTCTTGTACACTGCTAGTATCTCAGAATTGCAGCCAGCTTCAGTGCCAGGATGAGAAAAGGATATCTGCAGGGTCCCCAGGCTCTTACAGAGAAATGTTTTTTTTTTTCTTGGGAAGGTTCATAACTGAGCTGAAGCCAGTGAAAGCAAGGCAACACAAAATGGGTCAGTGCTCTTTAACTGATACTGTCTGTCCTCCAAATGTTTTCTCCAATTCTGTGGAAATGTTCATCTGCCACATTTGTCAGCACTTAGCTCTTGCTTTGGGGGCTTTTTTTTTTTGTTCCTGAAAGCAGAGATGTTCCAGTTCCCGCCTTTGCTGTCATGAGAGGCATTTGACTTCCCTGAATTATGGCAAAATGGAGTCATTTTATTATGCTGGTGCAGTGCAAAGTAAAAATTGTTAGGAGTTGCTCTAAACCTGCTCTAAAGAGATTTAGTTCACATTTTATATAGAGGCATCTGAGGACAAGTTCTTGGAGTTCAGCCGAGTCAAGTGTTTCTCTTGAAATTAAGAGGAAATCTGGTTTTACTTGAATAATGCAGAGACATGCAGAGGTTACATATTGTTACGGGATGCTGGTTACAGTACCGTTGTTAATTGCTTGGCAGCTTACTGTGCTCCAGAAATACCTCACCATTGCTATGAGCTAAAAGGTAAAACAGGGCTCTGTTCCTCTCTTATTAGCACCAGGAGACAAAATGTACTTGCTCAGAAAACAGAGCTGTGAACTCATGTCTCTCTTCATGAACTTGTTTCACATTTGACTGAAATAAAAAATAAAGTATCATTGGTAGTTGGAACTCTAGATCCTGCAGTTGATGGAGCTAAACTGTGAAGTGCTGGGGGTCGGTGGGTTCATGGTTCTGTTAGATTGTCTTGTAAGAGCTGTAGTAGAGGACTTGGAGTAGATTTCCCTTATGTCAGATGCCACAACTGTAAGCCCAGTTTAAGTGCCTTGAGAACTGATTTAGCTTGCTGGCTGAATGGCTGCTGGGCAGCCCAGGTCTCTGACATGCCGTGAGATAAAGCCATAAAAATTCCAGTTCCCTGTTGAAACGGCTAGTTTTTAATGACTGCATTGCCCCGTAAGTCTTCAGAAAAGCTGGAACCTGAATTCTGAGTGGAGGTGCCAAAACTCTGAATTTTCTGGCTGATTGCAGCCTTCACTGTGGGAGCCCAAGTCCTCGTGACTGCAGGTGGGAAGCCCTCAGCTGGAGCCTGAAGTTAGTGTTTTGAGAGCGGGGCATCTTCTAGTTTCTTCACTTGCAGGTGTATCCACCAAATAGCTGAGCGGCTCTTCTGTATGTTCAGTTGCAGCCTTCTAAAGATCCTCTAGAAGGCTAGAAGCTTTGGGACTTCATGAATGGAGCTTTAAATATCATCTTTTTTGTATGATGCTGGATATTTATAGCTAACTTCCGCCTAGGCAGCAGAGGTGGGGAGAGGCCCTGTTAAAGAAACTTGTTTCTTCCCCCAGAAAAAGAACAAATAACTTCCCTGTACTTCCTTACAGCACCTTGTGCCGCTCTAGAGATAAGAGACCTCAACTATAAAGATTTAAGTAATGCTTCAGTTCTGTGCTCTGGTTTTAGCACATACTGTCATCTTTTCAAGCTCCATTGTGGTTAGGTTGTATTTATACCAAGTGGACTAGAAATAGATTTACAGTTGTTCCGTCTGTAGGCATTGTTATTCGTCAGGGTGGCTCAGGACTTAGATGCTGAGGTCCCACTGGAATTGATCTGAGCAGAGCAGTGTGTGCAGCTCTGGAGATCTGGTCCAGAGTATTCTGTCAGTCTGGGGAAGGCTAGAATTAACCTAAATATCTAAGTGCTGATACACAGTGACTGTGCGCACGCCAGGAGTTACTGTGGGATACTTTGGTGATGTGGAAGCTATTTTGAAATACTTAAAACCCTTTGGGCATTACCTGTCTTCATTATGGAGCCATCTGCATCTCAAGAAAATTGTGGTACACGATCTCTTGGGATGTGTCACGTTGTGTGATGGAATGTAACTCACTTTGCCCTATTTTCCTGTAGTATCAAACAGGGGATATTAACTGATGTCTTCATATGTTGACATGTTTGTCTTCTCTCATAATGTGTTACAGTTCTTAGAAGAAATTGTAACTTACTGTTTAGAGCAGCTTGCTGGTTCTGTATGTTTTGTGTTCTTGCAGGCTTGGTGACAGATGATGAATATTAAGTAGCTCACTCAAGTTGTAGAATTGGAGCCTTGCTTGAGACTTCAACCTAGTGCAAGATTTGGAAGCAAACACTGTCCAAACCTTTATATATAGCTTCTAATTAGTTACTGTAATTGTTGAAGTTGTCGCAAGTGTTCCTTTATTTTGAATTCTGTACAGCATGGTGAGCCTGTCAGTGAAGTGAACTGCTCAGCATTAGCAAACAAATTTTTACAGCTGTTAATGTATGAAAGATGAAGCACTTCACAGTCAGCCTAACCGTAATAAAGATGAATGCTTACTGGCCTGTGTAACAGAAGAATGGCATTCGGATCAGAAGTCTGCCAGAGGAGCATGAAAAGAAATTAATGGACCAAATCTGGGAGGAGACTAGTGAAGTATAACAAGATTTCTGTTGTAATGCGTACCTTTATGGATAAGTGAAATGTTAAAACCTGCTTGTGCTACATTGAGAGGGAGTGGAGAAGACGGGACCCGGTGATGTCTGCACGCTCCACTGAAACAAAGCTAATTCTGTTTTAAAAAAAAGAAAAAAAAAAAGACCAAGCTCATTTTTTCTTAATTCCACTCCTGAAACTTCTAGAAAAAGATTTCATAAAGATGTCTGGATGATATGGGTGAGACCAGGGAGATTAAATAAGGCATAGCAGGGCGTTAACGCTAGCAGAACATTAACTCTGAGAAACGTGCACTAAGCTCTCCAGGAGCTGAGAGAAGTCAGCCCTGGATTTGACCCGAGGGTGTTCAGGTTTGTGCATCTCTTCCTCGTGAGTTGCTCATTGTTGAAGAGACTCCAGGTGAGATGAGTAGCAGTTGTGGTTTTAGGTGATTAACAGATGAGGAAAGATGGAGATACTAATTTTTGGCAGCAGTGTTGGTTTACTCCCAAGTATTGTGATCTGTTCAGCGAGGACTGCTGATGTGCCTGAAGTGGTGTGTAAGGACTTTGTTATGTGAGCATGTCGGGCAGAACCAGGAGCCACCAGTCTATGGTGGATGCCCCATCCAGCCTGGCCTTGAACCTCCAGGGATGGGGTAGCCACAGCTTCTCTGGGCAGCCTGTTCAGTGCCTCACAACCCTCTGAGTGAAGAAATTCCTCCTAACTAAGGAGATCTAAATCTCCTTCATTCAATTTAACACCATTCCCCCTTGTCCTGTTACCATCTGCCTGAGCAAAAAGTCCTTCTCCATCTCTTTTTTTAAGTCCCCTTTAAGTATTGAAAAGCTGCAGTGAGGTTACCCTGGAGCCTTCTCTTCTTCAGGCTGAATATCCCCAGCTCTCTCAGTCTTTCTTTGTAGGAGAGGTGCTCAAGCCTTCTGATCAATTTTGTGGCCCTCCTGTGGACCTGTTCATCCTTCTTATGCTGGGGGCCCATATTAAATACTTAATTTCAGTACTATTTCACAAAAGCACTTGTATGTGGGTTGTTTTTAAAAACACCTTTGAAGCTACATATATACAGAGTCATGTGAATGGAATAATTGAATGTCATGAGTAGAGAGAAGGAAAATAACAATAAAAATACAACCTCGTATACTTCTGAGTCATTTTGGTAAGGCCGTTAATGGGATTTGTAACTCTTAACAGGGATACAGAGAAACAAGACATATTCAAATATATGTTCATATCCAGCACATACTGATTTATTAATCTAAGGCTTTAAGTATCACCATGGCTAATTCTGCATTATCCTTTTTCAGCTGGATATGCCTACTGAGCAGATAGTTGCCAATCTAAAAACAATTTTAGAGGATATCTGCAAATTCAAGCCATCAAGTTCTGGTAAGTAGCTGTTCTTCCAATCTATTAGTTGAAGCTCTAGAAACAAAATAAAGAAACGATTGTTAAGCAGGGTGTCATTAAATGACCTCGTTACTTTGTCTACTTGGGATGGGAGGAGGGAGCTGTTAGGCTACTCAGTGAATTAAGGCTTGACAGCTTGACAGCCCATAAGGGCATGAATAGTGTCTGCTCTTCTTGACATGAACTCTCATTGCACTGCAGAAGTGTCTGTGTGAGGAAAGAAGTGAGATGATGTACAAAACTGAGTTGGCAGGTTGATGCTTAAATGGATTATAACAATACATTGGAATCCTTGTGAGACATGGGGGTCTTCAGTGTATGGGTGGATTGGTTTACCCCACTTGAAGCCGAATACAAAGAATCCAAACCAAGAATCCACCTGCAGTTACTTAAGACAATGCCAGTACTTCATCTAGCTAACATCTAGTCTGATGCTAACTACCCGTTTGAATATATACAACCATTTTTTTCTGTCACCAGGATGTTTTTTAAATTTCTGCTGTTCCTGGTGCAACGCTGTTAATCTTTTCTTTTCCTTCCCTAACTGAATGATCAGGTTACAAAGGAGCAAAAGCAGGAGTTCGGCATGCTGTTGCTGTGGGTTCTGCTCACTGTTCCTTTGTAAAGAATTTGACCAGCTAATACGCTAGCTGTTCTTTTTCGTATTGAAGTAAATGTAAAACAGATGTCATCTGTATTACTGGAGTGGAAACAATGATTTAAGAACATAATTCTGTGTTCTAGCATTCTGTAATCTAACCAACCAATTTTTATATTAATATTGGTTTAATGTCTGCAAAAAGAATCAAATTGCATCTCTTCCACTGATGCTGTGACTGTACGGACAGAACGGACTGTGAAAAGCAAACTAAACAAGCATTTGGAAGCGTTTCATCCCAAATAAAAGTATAAAGGGTTAGTTGACTAGAAATAAAACTAAATAAAAGCAGAAAGTCATGAGTTTTTTTTTTTTTTAGTGATGAGGCTCATATATAGACTACACCAACTTGATTAAGTTAGGGTTAGCCATTCTGGACTTTATAACGTTTCTGTTTGATTGGTGGTATCAAGCTTGATTACTGTGGTATGTTCTTACTTGCTTGGTCAAAAATATTTGCCATTTGTAGGAAGCAAGTGTGGTCCTCAGCGTATCTTTACAGGAAGGGAACCTAGGTAGGCTTGCTAACTGTCAGTCGCTTCGTTCCAGATTTCTGTTCGTTTTAGGTTTTCCATATGTAGTAGTGTATCTTCGTGCAACTATGCAGTTATCACTAAAAAGGCATTCCTCTGCAAGTCACTTGATCTAATGCAAGGCTAAAAATACCACCAGCCATATGTTCTCTAATGTAGTTCTAATTAATCCTCCCCAAAGAAATTGGGTTATTTCTGTAGTGCCTCTTGTCAAAAGACTCCTTCAGCATTTGTTGGTAGGATCCTGAAATAAGATTGTTTGGGCTATTTTGGTGCGCTCCATTACGCGTGAATATTTGTGCGATCAACAAGTGCCTAGTTAATTTTTGTGAAGCTGCAAATAGGGGAAAGCCAATTGTAATGTGTTTTGGAGCCTACAGCAGCTTTTTTTTTTTTTTTTTTTTTTGACATAGTTGTTCGGACCTGACCACTCGGGTGGAGTGGGAGGGTTGGAAATGAACTCAGTGCCCATGTGGTCATCTTTACTAGGATTAATATGTTAGAAAGAGGTCTTGATTATTGCATATATAAGGAACTGTGAACACTCAAGCTATGTAGGGATGGCATTGACATCATGAAGATGAAAGGATGATTGGAGTTGACCTAAGAGAATGTTGTTTGCTATGTGTGGGAAGAGTGTGTTGTGTTAGTATATCTATCATCATTTTATTTCAGTCTTTTGACTTGTTAGCTTTTTCAACTTGAAATGTAGTCTTCCTGCTCTATGGCATTGCTTTGCCTTTTTTTCTTCTTTGTACTAGGGGCTCTATTTAGCTGTCAGACGTGTAACATCTCTACTGCTTCCTAGTCACCTTCATCAGCTATGTGTGTGTTACAAATAACCACAATATCTTAGCCTTTTCCTCCACCGTCTGGGTTTTATTCAGTTCCTTTCCAAATCCAAAGGGGACTTGAAAACCACTGCCTACCTCAGCAGCCCCTTCCTCAAATGCATGCTGTCATCTTTACCTTTGCGACCTGTGCAGCTTCAATCCAAAATGCAGGTGTGATTGACAGATAATCAGACTGCACTTCACAGAGCTTTCCTGCATTGTCCCCTCTGCTGCTCTGGAGGAAGCATGTGTTGGACTTTCTGCCTTGAGCTCGCTATAATTTCCACTGCTTTGTAATACCCTAATAATTTCTTGGAGAGCACAAGATAGCAGAGCACCATTCTTATCCCATGCAGAAGCTATGGGTGCTACATATTGTGGTGGATAAAAATGAATCTATGTAGGGTTTTGTTTGTGGAATGGCACGCCTGCTGCCTTTAAAAAGTAGGCTTTTCACTTACACTTATGTGCTTCCCAAGTACTCTTCAGAAAACTGGATCCTAGACTGGTGTGTTTGACTGCTGGAAGGAAAGCTGTTAGGTTGTCAGGAACTTCCCATCTGTAATTTGCCAGTCAGACTAGATTCCAAATTGACTTGATTTTTTTATCTATACGTTAGAGGAGAGTGTGTATGTGTGTGTAGCTTGATTTGTGTGTTCCAAGGCCCTGGAATATCAATTACCTCAACTGCTGGCGAGGTACTGAAGGAATAAGGTAGCCATCGTGTTACTACCTTTTTGTAGCACCAGCGTGTGAAGTGCATTTTGAGCCCTTTCTGGCAGAGTGCATGTTCAACTGTCTGCACTGAGATGATTTGTCTACTCGTATCGGTCTGTTACCTGACACAATATACCTGACACGATCTGGATCAGTACTAAGATAAGTCAGCCTGGAGACAAAACTGTTGAAGTAACTGAATTGGTGGTGCCCTTTGTTTTGTAGGTCCCTTTGTGCGGAAGTTGGTTATTAGATCTTCAACCAGTGAAGGCTTGCTTTTGAACCTTGATGGACTTCTTCCAGAGGTAGAGAAAGTAGAAGAAAAAGAAGAAGAAACAGTAGAAGAAGACGATGAAGAAAAACCTGTTCAAGAATCTGTTAGTACCTGATGCCTTTCCTTGTAGGTCTGATGATCAGGCTTGGAAAGCAAATGGTGGATTTCAAATCATATTCTGTGAAAAGGAAAAATAAATACACACATTTCATTTTTAAATTCTGTGTGACCGGAAACTATGTCACAAACAGGAGCCTGTTGTCAAAACTGAAGACACTAAGTTTCTTCTTTGGGTAGCTGAAAGCTCCCTAATTTGTGTGTTTTTTTTTCTTTTTCTTCGCACATAATCAGTCTAATAAATGTAGTACTATAAGCTTGAGGTATTGCCATCCAATTAACATAGTTGCAGCTGAAAGACCAACACATGTTACATCCATAATGCTGGGTTTTCTACTCTGTTGAAATTGCAAAATTGTTCAATGCTTTTGTCTGTTACACCCAATCTCATGTAGAGAAGCTAATGCAGTTACTTCTGGAAAGCTGCTGCATGACTTTCCAAGAGAAAAGCTAAATTTTAACTTACCATCCTGTTTTCTACAAAATCAGAGGTGGGTTTGCTTTTGAGTTGGTGGAAGCCACGCCTGCATGATGCTTATGGTATCCCACTTCATTTTCACTTAATCTACGTACATAGAGGTGTGATGTATGGATTTCTGTTCCACTTGGCACTCTGAAACTACTTCTGAATGCGGGATTGTTTTTGTGACAAACTGTAATAGTTGATTTTTTTTTCTACAGAAAAAATGGGTTATCTTCTGCAAGAGGAGTGATTGTGCACCTTCTTTTTCTAATAACACTTCATCAATGCATAATTGATATTATGCTCCTCAGCGAGCCCAATTAGTGGCTTGTTTGTACTACCCTGGAAAGAATTGATTGTAAACTAGTTTGAGATGAGACCTGAGTGAAGCTACAAAAATTTAAGTATCCCTTTCTGTTTGGCAATGGAGGTTCCTTTTGATGGGCTTCCAAATAACCAACTGGATGTGTTCTGAAGGGGAGCGAGAGGCAGCTTCACAACAAGCAGCAGGAGGTCTTGCTTCCATACAGGTGACTCCAAGAGGAAGGCTCCTGTGGTATGCTTTGTGTTGAGACTTTACTTCAAAATGTTGGCTGATGCCTTAGGACAATTTTGTGTGTTACCAGCTGGGAATGAAGAGCACATACATAAGAGCAGCAGTGAGTAGCTAGGATATATAGGGCCGTGGTCCTGTGCTGGGTTAGTTATCTTGAGAGTGCACGGACCACTAGATTTGGCTTAGAAAATACTGATTTGCTCATTGGGCGGAGGCTCCCCAGCTCCTCTGCCAGTGTACAGGTGGAAGAAAAAAAGGCTGTGGGGTCCCTTTTGGTTATGTATTAGCTTAGCTTGTTCCTTTGACTCTTGGTAGCTGTGAATACCACTTAGCTTTGGTGGAAAATCTTGAAGTTAAAGGCCTCTTAGTTGAAATGAAGGTCTCTTTTAGGAATAGCACAGTTTGACAAATGAATTAAGCTCTTGTCGGGGTTTGAGCTCTTACACACACCAGAAGGCTTGACTTGGCGATGTTTCAACTTTTTACACAGTTAGCTTTTTGTTCGTGAGGGCTAGCTGGTGTGGGTCAAATCAATTAAAAACAAAACACCAACCCTTTTTTTGCAAAAGGTAGTAATGAGTGTGCTTGTAGTGTAATCCTGTCATTCTGCTCAATTTAATTCAGTTTATATGGCAATTGCTGTGACCTGTTACTTTGTCTACTTTTTTTTTATTTTTTTATTTTCCAGCATAGTTCTTAAGTATTAACTGGAGACCAGAGAAAATATCCATGCGTCTTTCAACTGGCTGGCTAAAAAACAGGTGTTTTCCACCTTGCTGCAGAATTTTTCTCAGCTTTCTGCACGTTGTTTCCAGCAGGTGGCATTCTTGTTCCCCTCTGTAGGATTGTTAGGGAAAGTTTCTTGCTGATATTTTTGTTTCATTGCTAGACATATGCTAGTAGAAATGAATCCAAAAAATTAGGATGATTCCAGAAAGGATAGGCCATATAAAAGGGGATGAGGTTATCCAAACCTGGAAGGGTAGCCTGTGTTTGGGGCTTTAAATCATTCCTTTTGTTGTAGATGAGGTGTTTTGTGTTTGAGGAGGTTACCCATATCTGCTTAGAAATCCTTGCACCTCCATCTGAAGCATTTGGCTGCTGTCAGTCAGGGTGCCTGACAGCTTGCTGCTCGGCCACACTGCTGTTTCTTTAAATATGTGGAGTGCTTTATGCAGGTTCATCAGAAAATTGTCTTAAGGGTAAAGGAAAGCTTCGCGCTGACTTCAGTAGACTTTCTATGTAGTATTTGCAAAAAAGCAATGTCAGTACTTCTGAATAGCTGTATAAAAAGCTGTATAAACAGCCTTGGCTATGGGCTGTGCTTGTGCCTTGTGGAAAGAAGAAATTTCAACCAATGTTTGTGGGAGTGAGTTGGTGTGAGAGGCAGAAATATTGTGTCAAATATATTCAGGGAAGTTAACTGACCTAAACATCACATTTGGTCCAATTCTACTTAGATCAAGAAAAGAGGTATTGCAGGGGGAGGTGTTTCCCTATAAAAACGTGTGTATCCATGATCAGCTGAGACAGAATTGGCAGCTTTTGGAAGATACAGAAAGATACATAATCAAGGGAAATTTATTTTTATTTTTTTTTATTTTTTAAGCATTAGATTCCAAAGCATTAGCATTGAAGTTTAGGTTTAATTTTAAAATATATTTAAGATACAGGGTGTCTTAAATAGCAGGCTCTGCTGATTACTGGCTGTGTGCAGGCAAGTCTGGTTTATGCCAGCGTAGAGCAGAGGAGCAACTTACTCTGCAACAAAAGGCTTGATTGCTTTTGACGAGCTTTACTTAGATGACTTCTTCTGATGAAAAAAATGATCATTTTCCACAAGTTCCTTGCCTGTACGATGTCTAGCTTCATTAGTTCAAGTACAGCATCCTCTAAAGGTACATCACTTACACAGTAAGCTTTTTTTTTGTTTTGGAGTTTGTACACAGATGTGAACAGAGAAGATCAAGCCATGAGAGGTGTGCCTTGGTTTGAGGATGTCTCTTAAGCTTCTGTGCAACTCAAATAGTGCACGAGGAATTGATTAACACTTTGAATCTTAGCAAAAAGTATTATTTTTTTTACAGGGTTCCATTCTGCAGAGAACATTTTATGTGTGCATGCAAGCAAACAGCATCTTTAGCACTAACAAATTGTATATACGAGGAATGCTGTGAGATATTGTAACGTTATGTGCTGTTTGTGCCTGTAATGGAACATGAAGGTAAGATACCTGCTGATACAGATAAGTTAGGCTTATGATGTTATTCGCCTAGGTTTCTTGGTCTCCTGTAATTTTCTTGACTTATTTCAGATTTTACTATCCGTTGTTGCAGGCCTGTTGTTTTGAAGATGGGTGTTCTGTTTTTTTTAGTGATGCTTAAGTGTAAATACACAGGTGAACGTATCTCAGGCTGACTGCCGAATGTATTTTCAGAGAATAAAAATGTGGAGTACTGTATATTCCTGCAGAAATGCATACTTTAAAAATTTGAACACTGGCAGTACTGTAAATCTGGATCTCTAGAGGTCAGGTGAGGAAAAAAATGGCTAATGAACTCAGCAAACTGTACCTGAACAACTGCAGCTGAAAATCTTACAGTTTCGAGTATGCTGTGTTACTAATTGATGTAGTGATAATGTTCCTGGCCTTTATAACACTGAAATGGGATTATACAAAACGAGTATATTATGATTTTATCCTGAAATGCTTGATTGAGATAGATGAGGGATGAAAAGGAGAAAGACAACATGGGATTGTTCCCCTGTAATAAGCTTAGTCCCAAAACACGCAGAGTGGGAACTGCTGTACGTGTGGGTTTTGTGCCACTGTGCCTTGGAAACATGTTTAATTGTCACGTAAGCGTAGCTAAGATGGTGTTGCTTGCATCTAGGTATGAATACTACTGTACTATTTGCCAAGTGTGGTTTTGTAATGCTTTGGTGGTTTCTCATTTAGTTATGGCAGTACATAAATTGGTTATCTGTCCTGAACGTTAAGCTCTTGTAAGTCCCGTGTGATAAGAGGCAGCCCTTTGCCAGCGTTTCTGTTAATGAATGCTTAATGCTCCTTCGGTAGGTAAATAGAGCACAGATCTTCCATCACAAGCAAAACTCCATTAACCCAGGGCTGTCTCCTTGTGAAAAGGAGGGAGAGCTGCAGTGTACTTTGTAATGCAGATGATGTATGATTGCTTTTAAAATTATCCCATATGAAACTGCTGTATAACTAAGGGGAAGCAGGCAATGGACTGAAATTCACGGTTGATACTTAGAGAAAAATGTGCCCAAACAAGGAAGAAATTACAATGGAAGCGTGTGTGCAGTTGTGGGGAATGAAGGGTTTAGGCTGTCAGCCTAAACCTGGACTTGTATGGAAATTAGTTGCACTCCAAAAAACTTCAATCTGGGCGGGTCAAACTGAGTTCACAGAGCTTTTGCTGCAAACTGTGGCACAGAGGTAAAGCTAGAGCAGGATAGGGATGTTGCAAATGCAGTGTTCAAAACTGATGCAAGAAAGACTGGCTGGCGGTTTCCCAGGTTGCTCACTGGTGGCATTAGCACTACTCCCACAGTTGCCATTCTGCCGTACTGTAACAGAGCGCTGCCTCCAAAACGTCAAGGAACATCAGCCTTGTACACATCCTGATTGAACTTGTCAGGTTCAGGCTCCCTCGTTAATTTTCCCAGAGCTGCCAAGTCCTGCTGCGTGCTGCCCCTGCTCTGGGAGTTAGGCTGGCCTAAGGAGTCGGGCTGAGCGCTTTGTTTGGAGCAAACAAAACTTGGAAAATCTGGGCTCAGCACTGTGCTTGTCTGGGTGGTGTCACTGATGAAGCCTTGGCTAAATGTCCCACAATGAGTAAGGTCATTCTAAACAGAGACAGGCTTTATCTGTACCATACAATGCATGGAAATGAGAAGGTGAAGGAAATGTCATTAGTGAAATCCCTAATGACAGTGCAGAAGGGGACAGCGTGGGGCACTAAGAGTGGTGTTCTGAGCGCTTTCTGTTCCAGAAGTTCCTCCTTCGTGCAGAAAGGTGAGAAAAACACCTTTAGAAACAAGAAGGGAAGGAGTAGTGGAACGGAGACCTGGCTGGTGCGGCTACATTCATGTTCTGCAGATCCTCAGTGGGGCAGCAGGACTCTTAAGGGCCCAATATGTTGTGCTAGGGTATCTATACCTCTCTATCACAAACCCGTGATGATTGCATTTCTTTGCAGCTGGAGGTGTAGTGGTCTTTGTGGGTTTTGTTGAAGTGGAGAAACATTTGGGTGACTTTTCTTCAGCTTAAAGAAAACTTAGTTGAACACAAACAAAACCCCACTGAAGCCTAATTTTACTTTTTTTTTTTTATTTAAAGTGAAAAGGGTAGCGATTAACAAATACTTTCTTCTCTCCTGAAAGCTTCATCTTTCCAGCAGGAGGAGTCCTGTGATTACAGTGCTAGCTGCAAGGCCTCTGAGCTGGTCGCTAGGAGGAAACTGATTGGAGTGGAAATGAGAGCAGCAAGGCAAATGGTACTTCAGTTTCTTTTCTTTAAGACACTCCTTGTAGGAAGGCAGTTAAGCCTCGTTTCCCAGCATTAGTGAAATCTGGTTGTGACAAAACAAAATTGTAAATGACCTGTATGCAGGCTAACTACTACTCAAAGCCTGAAGAAAAGATGGCATGCTAACAAGGTGGGTTGTGACTTTACACCAGAGGTGCCCTGTGGGGAAGAAAAGAAAAATATTTCAGGGGATCTGAACCATTGCAAACACACTTCCTTTCACAGGGCTTTCCCAAGCATACTTGTTCCCATCTTTCAGGGTTTGTTGGGGACGGGAGTGGATTTGGGGGACTGGAACAGTGAAATAAAAACAGAATCCTTGTTGGCAGTAAGTACGCACATGTGCTAGGCAGTAGAAAGATGTTTAACACTGAGGTTTGTGGAAAGAGCCTGCTGGATTGATTTCCAGGGCGCTGCCTGGTGACCTCTGTGCTTTGCCAGCTGCTGGACTGACTGCAGCTCTGCTGGAAAGCTGCACTGCGTGAGCGTGGTCAATCATATGCTTCCCCAAAACTAAGGTCCGGGTGTGCACATGCTGTGTGTAGCCAATATATGTGCACATTTGCATTGGCTGTCCAAAACTGAAATGCAGTCACTATAAAGAGAAGGGAGGAAACTCTGCTGGGTGCACAGTTTGGGAAACGCTTTTTCCTGCTTTCAGTAGCAGGGCTGTGTGTAGATGAGGAGGTGATGAAAGCCCGAGTTCTTCATTATTTAAAGACATATTTTAAAAATATATTTGTAAATCCCTTCAAAAATCCAGCATCAATAGTGGTTTGAGATGCATACTTTATCTTTTAATAACCTAATCTCAATGTATTTTTAAAATATTCACTAATAAAACCTTTTATGCTATGCATAGTGCACAGAGGTAGCCTCTTACTCCTTGTCCATGTAGGGACACTGGGAAAAGACTCAATTTTTCTTTATTCCAGTAGTGATTTGTGGTCTCGCATATTCTGTGAAGAGGTGAAATGTGCACTAAACATACAGCTGTCAGGATCGTGGATTCTTCTTAAAGCATGTCACAGTGGCCTTCAAGATATCATTTCCCAAAGGTCTTTGAAAGGAAAAGGTGCTACCTAGAAGAAGTTGGTAATCTTAGAACTAAAACCAAGGATAGGCGTTGTATCCTAGTGTAGTGGGCTACAGACTTAGTCATCATGTTAAAATTACATCCGTCCTCTCTAAATATATGTATTTATTAAAAGCAAAATGACAACTAAACAATTTTACTGACCTTTGAGAAGAGAGGGACTTGAAATGCAAGACAGAGAAGTCAAAGATGGCTAGGGTGTATCAGGCTTCGTGCTGCATGACAGCAAGCTCCATCTCCCTGCTTTATCGCAGCATCAGAATATTACAAAAGGAAGTTGTTTTCTCTTTGGTCAGATAAAACCCTTTCAGTGCTTTATCTCAAGCTTAGGTTAGATTTTTTTTTTTTTTTTTGTTAAATTAAAGTAGTAAATCCTTTATCCTTCTGGGTAAAAAAAAAATACCATCAGTAAGCAACCCTGAACACATTAAAGTTAGGCAAAGCTTCTAGTCAATGACAGTGTCTTGACATGTTAGGGAATGAGTTTAAGTCCTCTCCCCAAAAGCTTATGCCACATAATACCACTTTTGTTTATTTTTCATATGAGAACTGTGAATTACTTAGGGCACAGATGCAGCCTCTGGCACATTATTGTTCTGTGCCAAGAAAAATATCTACTTCTTGAGATGTTCATTCAGTTTTGACAGGGTTTGCCTGGAATTCAGCAAAGCACTGTTATCAGAGCTGAATTGTCTGCTATTTAATATTTGTTAGGAGAGTTGCATCCAATGTGCACTTTTTCACTCCAGGGAAGGGAAGGAGGTACAAGGTAATTTAATTGTTTGTGGGTTGTTTGTACCTGTAAAAATAAAAAAATAAAAAAATTCTCCTCAATTTTCTATACAGAGAAAGCCAGCTGCTTTTTTTTTCTCTGGAGATGTTAAAAAGCTCTGATCTGTGCAAGCATAGTAGTGAGACTGTTCTTCACTAAAGGTCACTTCATTACACCAATCTCTGACTTCATCAGATCAACGTATCCTCAGAGAAGGCAGAGCAAAAATAGACCAAGATGCCAAAAAAAATAAAAAAATAAAATCAGGTATGGCAAAACTGTGCTCAGAGGGCAGGCTGGAAGTCTTAGCAGCAGGAGAAAGGAAAAGGTGTGCAGAGGGTAGATTTTGGCCTCTTCACTTTTTTCCACACAAGAGCATTGACTAGTTTTGACTAGAAGTTACAAAATCAATGTGATTAAATGTAATTAATATACAGATATGTTTATATATAACATGTTTATTTCTGTGGAACTTTTTATGAGACTGAGGCAGTTGCTGAGACAGTAAGATTTAGCACTCTTACAGGAAGGAATGTGTAGTTATATCAGGTAACATTTGGGAGAAGTTTTAACTGTAAGAACTGGTGCCAGGGTTTCTGTTATTGGGGAATTCACAAAAAAAAGTCCACTTCATGATTGTCTGCTTGAGTTGTTCCTGAAAGCACCTGGCTTGTTAGAAGACTTGATTCAGACTGCATCTGAGTCTGATTCAATTTAACGAGCTCCTAGATGGAGGTCATAAACATTGGAAGGCCTCGCCTGTAGGTTTCTGAGTCTGGACAATGTGGGCTAAATTCCAAGCAATTGAAAAAACCCTGAGAAGAGACCTCAGCCAACAGAGCTGGATTGAGATGGATCCTTTTCAGAAACGTGTTTCTTGAGCTATTCTGTGTGTATGTGCCAGCACATGCCCAGCTTTCCATGGACATAAGTTATGACTGATCCGAATCACTTGAGCCAGTGACTTGCATGCCAAATTGAGAAACAGTGCCCAAACACAAACGCACAGGGAATTGACCTCAGCCTAGAGATTTGATAAAG